ACAAAATTTCATCGACTTCGAGCTCTAGCTTAAACGGGCTTAAACTATTGATTTGGAATAGATTAATATAACACATAGTTTGAGAATCACTGACCTAGGCACTAAATTTGTTTCCAAAAGATTGTACCATTGGCGTTACCAGAGAAGGTTTTGGGGGTCAACAACCCCCCCTCCGGGGGGAAAATATCGTCCATCCATATCACCGTACATACAAAACCCCCCACATTCAAACCTCCACCAATCAAAAAACTTCTGGGTACGCCCCTGATTGTAATAATATGAATGTTTAAATGCCAAAACTATTCAAACTCAATCAAGGAAATCGACAACTCAAGATTTTGAGGGGAATGAACCTTCATAAATCCCAAGGGTTCAAATCTCATAACTTAATAAATTCAGAGATTACTTAATAAACCATCATAGTTTTTTTACTCTTTTGCCAGTCAACATGCTCTAATTCATCCCAAATTTCACTTTAAATCACCTCTTACTATTCAAATAAATAGACATACGAGAGCCTGATAATAATTATTAGGATTTATGGATAGAAACTTTTTTTTGTTGATTAATTTCATCAATAAATTATAAGTTTGAGATCCATTTCTTCATATTATTCTAAGCACGAGTAAATAAGACACCTATTTTTGTCATATTATATTGTCATTAGTCCACACACAAAAAAATATATGGATATACCTTCTCCTTATCCTAATCTGAGGGTTTCATTTCTCGTTATTGAGTTTTCCAAAGATTTGTGTCATAAAATATATAAAATAAATATTTGTGTGCTGTTCCTTTAAAACCCAAACAACAGAATTACATATTTCGTCCGCATGAGTCAACAAGAAAGCAAAAAAAAGTGTGGCAAGCAATCGAAGGAGGTGCACACAAACATGTTGCAAAACAATTTCTCATTCCTCCCCTCAGGCTTCATTTGTCACACATAACAGCGACTACATTTATAAATTGCTTTAATGACTTTTCATGTTGTCTCTTCATGTGTACTATGGACATGGACATGAATTGATTCATCATACAATGTAACTTATAAGTTACATACTACTTGTGACAAAGAATTGTCTCGTGGTGAGTTTAACAACGGAAAATAACAAGATTTTTTTTTATAAGGGGAAAATCACTTGATGGGAATGGGGTTGTTCAAAAATGACGTCACAAAGAAAGAGTGTCGAAAAGCTCTAAAACGATAGAATTTTCAATTGTTTGTTTTTGAAAAATAACTGTTATTTTTGGGCGTCCTTTATGAACGATCCCTAAATAGAAAAATCAGCATTTTTAAAAAGCTTCAAAAAGCTCTTAATAAGTTTTCCATAACGATATCCTGTAAAAATTCTAGAAAAAATCATCAATTTCCCACAAAATAATTGTCCCCTTGGATTTATCTCGACTTTCCTTTCATTCTCCGATCGACAGTAAAAAATGAAATATTAAGCGACCTCTTGCGATATCAATAAATCAAATCAACTGGACGTACGGTGTAAATAAAAAAGGAGAGAAAATCACAGAAACTTAAGCAGCAACAAAAAGGATATTTTTTGCTTTTATTATGACTGCTTCCTTTCCTCTTATTTGCTCTCTTTTGATGAATTTCAGAGGAATGGGCAAAAAATTTTATTGCGTCTGTGATTAATTAGGCAGGAAAAGGAAGACGAAGAATATTGTGAATTAATAGTTCGCCGACGTCTTTCTGCTTGAATCTTTAGGGGCCGTTCACTTATTACGTTACGCAAAAAAACGACTTTTTTCACCCCCCTCCCCCCCTTGTTACAATATGTTACAATTTTTCAAACCCCCCCTCCCCCCTAAAATGCGAACGTAATAAGTGAACGGCCCCTTAGAGGTTGTCTATAAATAACGTTTGGATATTGTTCAGCATAACCTACTTTCTTCTATAACAAAATCTCAATTGCAATTATCAAGTTTTTGACATCAGCTCATAAACCCTCCAAACAGCTTCAGGACGTCATTGTCAAATCATTCCTACATAAAATTTTAATGCACGAGAAAAATTAAAAGAAGTGCGAGAAAATGAAGAAAAACAATTTTGGCGCCAAATTTATTCAAGTAATTACTGATTTTTAAGGAAATTGTTTAATTTAGCAAAACAAAAGGGATGTCTTAAAATTGTGTCCATCGTATTGATTTGTGGACCCGATTCTGTTATATAAGCGGTCCTTTAACTCATTATTCACAATAAAAATGAGCCCTCCCTACATTTAATCAATTCTCGCTTAGGGATCGGTCACTTATAACGTCCGAAATTAACGGCGGTCATTTTTCAAATCAAAACAATGGATTCAGAAATTTTATATTGTTCTTTTTTGCTACAACTCCCTCACCCCCCCCCCCCCCCCCCCCGTTAATAAATAACGATTCAAACAAAATAAACATTTCTTCATAAAAATTTCTGTCAGGGGAGGAGGGGGGACGTTTTTGATAAACATCATTTATAAACAGCCTCTAATATACCAAAAATATTCAAGTAAGTTCCAATTTTCCTTTCATTTCATTTAACGACCGAAAACCCCACAAAAGTTTTTGTCAATTCAAATTCAAATAATTTTTGTTCGTTATTAAAATTCCTAGTATTCTGAAAATCAAATTTTTCAAAACCGTTAGCTTAAACATTCACTCAGCCTCTCTTAACATTTGTGAAAAGATTGTTTTGTTTTTCGATAAGTTTATTATTTCAGTTTATTGTTGTTGTCATTGATCTTTATCGCTCAGTATTTACACAATCTGTTCCTACGGGGCTGTTCACTTATTACGTTCGCATTTTAGGGGGGGGGGGGGTTTGAAAAATTGTAACCAAATGTAACAAAGGGGGGGGGGGGGGGGTGGTGTCAAGAAGTATGTAACGTTCAAACTGTCGTCTGTCTTTTAAAAAAAAAACTTCACGAAAAAAATTTGTTTACAAATTCACACCAAAAACATTTTTTTAAATTTTTCAGAGCTGCGAAACAGGCACCTGTGACAGGTGAGAACCCTACAATTCCTTGATAATTTATAAGGTTTTTCTAACAAAACCATACAAATTATCAAAGAATTGAAAGGTTTTCACCTGTCACAGGTGACCTGTTTCGCAACTCTGAAATTTTTCACCTTTTTAATGATTTACAAATGTCCAGATCTCTTTTGATAGCTAAGCAATACATTGTTTTTGTAACAAATCAATAGAAAACTGGTCTACAAGACTTTAAAATACAATCATAATTTGTGGAAATTTTCAAAATTAAATCAACCATAAGTTTAAAAATAAATCTCTCTAAATCTGTCATTCATATGATGATTAATATGATCCCATCATTGTAATATTTACATTCAAAGTTGATTGAATTTTCCAAAATTCGATCGGGCATAATATTTTTCATGACATTTTTGAATTTTCTTCAGGGGGAAATTTACTCAGCCTAAAATTTTTTTTGAGTAAAAATTTATTAAAACAAAAGCGTAAAAAAAGAGTAAAAAGTGTAAAAAAAAGAGTAAAATGTGTAAAAAAAAGAGTAAAATGTGTAAAAAAAAGAGTAAAAAGTGTAAAAAAAGAGTAAAAAGCGTAAAAAAAGTGTAAAAAAAGAGTAAAAAGTGCACTTTTTACTCTTTTTTTACGCTTTTTACTCTTTTTTTACACTTTTTTACGCTTTTTACTCTTTTTTTACACTTTTTTTTACACTTTTTACTCTTTTTTTACACTTTTTACTCTTTTTTTACGCTTTTGTTTTAATAAATTTTTACTCAAAAAAAATTTTAGGCTGAGTAAATTTCCCCCTGATTTTCTTCAAAAAAAAAACAAAGTTTTGCTTTATATCTTAATCCAATAATTCATGAGAATACTAATAGTATCAATCGAAACATGACCTATTTAGCTGTACAGTATTTTGATGTTTAAGAAAAAAAATACAAAATAAATTTAACCGTCTTTTTAGAATAAAATTATCAAAATAAAATAAATTATGAACGTTCAGGGGGGGGGGGGGGGGTGTTGTGAGTTGTAACATATTGTAACAAGGGGGGGGGGGGGGTGAAAAAAGTCGTTTTTTTTGCGTAACGTAATAAGTAAACGGCCCCTACTATGAATTTTTATTTTTAAAGTATTTTGGAATCGCATCTCTCATGTGTCGCATCCACAAAAGAAGAACTTTTGTAAACATCTCAATTTTATTATCGGTTCCTTTCTGAATGCAGCTCGTTCATATTTCCTTCTTGTTCAATGTTTATGCCCGAGCGGCACAAGGTGGCAGGTGTCAGTCATATGACTGTTATATGATCGTTTTTAAATGGCAGAAAACAGTTATATGACGGTTATTTGGTAGCAATTATATGACAATTTTATAAAACTGTTATATGACTGCCATGTGACTGCCATGAGAAAAAATTAATTACAGTTACCATTGTTTTTTGAAAAATTATGGAAACAATTCATTTGAAATCGTGATTTTGAAGTGACAAGTTCATTTTGTTGTTACTCTTTCAATTTTTAATTTAACTTTGTACGCAATTGTTCACGGATCAGCCGGAATAAATGTCATTCCTGAAAAGTGAATGAGGGAGATTAAATTGTGAAAATAGTTTATCCACGAAGGAATGGTTCGAAAGATCCTTTAAAAACTGTCAAGAAACAAAAGGATCCACAGGACAATTGGGAAGAAAATGTAGTCACCGTATTGAAAAAAGGAATCGGTATGTTATGCATAGTTTTTTTTAAATTCTAAAAGGCTTAGTAAATTTTAATTTCTTTTAGAATCTTTTGAAGCAGCCATTAATCGATGCAGACCCGACAGAAGTATTCAAACACAGAATCTGAGCTAGAAACATTTAACAAAAAAATATTATTATAAAAGTTCAAAAATAAACACTAAATTTAAACCCCTAATATTTTGTAATTTTTTAAAATTGATTTAATTTATATTTCAGCCTATAAAATTGCCATGTAATTGATATAAAATTACCATAAAATTGCCATCTCATTGCCATATAATTGCCATTTAACTGAAATTTGATAAAAGTACTGCCATCTGTGCCTGTCATAAAACTGCCTAGAAACTGTCATATAACAGTTTCCGTTTTGTGTCAATTTTTATTGATGGCAGTCATATGGCAGTCATATGGATTACTTTATCATACTATTTGGTTGACATTTCGTCAACATCGATAGCAATTATCTGTCATATGACTGCCAAAAAGCAGTTTTTATTGCCATCAAACGATGGCAATTGACACGTGGCAGCTGACATATGGCAGTCATATGACAGTTATATGACACCTTTGTGCCGCTCGGGATGCACGGCTCATTTGATTTTATTGTCGCACTTTGTAGGTAGTTGGGTGACAAATATTTCTTACTTAGTCTAGACGGACAGCATGTGCTGGATTTTTTGTAACCCACGCCCTGAAATATTTTTGTATTATGTTATTGATGACGACATCCTATTGCAGCACTGATAACCAAAATCGTCATTCCTAGCTTTTAAATTCCAGAATCCTCCCAATTCTTTATCTTGACAACTCAAAAACACCCAAAAATTAAACTTTATCTAATCAATCAAGAACTGATAAGAACAATATCAGAAAAGTTTAAAATTGTGCAATAACCGATAACATCCAACACATGTTTTTTTTAATATAATTTAACATTTTTATTTCAAAAATCATCAATGCTTCTTCCATGAAGTTGTTCAACAGTAAAAAACAGTAAATATACTTTCTTGTTCTTGTAAATTTGTTTTAAGTATTTAAGGCACATAAAATCACAAGCATTTCCATGATTTGAGAATTAATTTTTAATTACAATTTTCTTGAGTTTGACTTGGAAAAAAAGGAAATGGATTTAGGCTGTGGATGAATCAAAGAAAAAATTTGTTAAAACAAGAAAATTTTAAAAAAGTCGTTGAAAAAAATTTCAAAAATTAGTTGAAAATTTCAAATTTCAAAAAGTCGTTGTAAAATTTGAGTTTCAAAAATACGTTGAAATATTCAAACTTGAAATAGTCTTTGACTAAAATTCCTCTTGCGAGGAAAATGCAAGGCACAAAAAATATTTAATACGTCAAATTTACCAAATCCGAAAGCTCATTCTTGACACTCTTGATGACAGCAAATAAATTCTCACGCGAATGGAACTCCATCAGTGCCACAAAAGCTCTCAACAACTCATTATTCTTCGATTCGTTAATTTTCGTCCCTAAAATATGACTAATCTCATTGCACTGTCCCATCGTCAATTGCTTGGTAAACGACGGATGTATCCATAGTCCAATATCATCATCCTCACAAAAATCAAATGCATAAAGGTACGACATAAACATCATAACAGACGATAGCTTTAATTTCGCTTCACCTGGTACGATCGGCTCACAACAAATAGTTTTAAAAGTTTCATTTCTGTGCTTCATAAATAACATCAAATTACTCCGAAATGCCTCATTATAATTCGAAATTGCACTCGACAATTTAGCATATAACAGCACCGATTCCGGATTATTTAAAATAAGTTTCCAAATTAATTTTACAAATAATTCAATAAGCTCAAAATTTTTAGACAGTATCCCGCAAATAAAGAATGAAATTTGTATGAAGTTTGCGTGCGTCAATTTCCCAAAAAGCTCTTCAATAACTTCCAAATTTCTTTCGTTTTCCATTCGATTCCATTTATTCATTCGCAGATCAATCAATTCTTTAAAAACAACCCGACGATATCCTTTATCGCACTTAATGACTTCCTTAAAGAACAGAAAGAACTTGTCGAGGATCAAGACACTGTCCAGGTCAATTTTATATCCAACTTTTTGTAGTAAAATCTTAATACAGTCCACAATCTTTTTACTTTCAACTTCCTTCTCCAACAACATCTCCAAAATACATAAAACAAGATAAATTGATGCGACATTGCCAACAAACAAGTCGCCGACAAATGACGTCATATTAAATAATTTAATCATTTTCGTTTCATTCTCGATGTCATTAAGGATATTTTTGATGACGTCATGTAACTTAAATTCCATATGCTTCTGGAATGTATAGCTATCGTCAGTCGCTGACTTAATTGCATGTAGTTCGTCAGCTAACTTGACATAGATGGCTGTTTGGAAGCTTGAAATGGCAGTCAATAGAAAAAATTCAACAATTTCAGCAATTTGTTCTTTTTTATAGCAATAACGATATTTTAGTTCCTCCAGCTTCATCACAATCGACTCTTCATTTAAATTTGATATAAACAGTTTAAAGTAAGTCACTGGACATTGCATCTGTGCCTTTTGTTGACGATAAATTAAAATTTTCATTGTTACATAAAGTTCCCATGCTGCTAAGTTTCGATCGTTTGCATCGACAATTGTTGGAAGTTTTTTAGCCAGCATGTCCATAAAGGTCTTAATCACATTCGTGATGCCATTTTGAATAATTTTATCAAAGGATATTTTAATTAATTGATGAAAAAGTGTAATTTGATGATCGGTTCCAATGTCATTTAAAAGTTTCTCAAGACATGCTATAAATGTCTGATTTTTCATAAATCCCATATTGTAATATTCACCAATTAACAATATCAACTGTAAATGCTTCCGTTTGTCAGATTTCGTCACGTCCACGTCAGCTTTTGGTAAGTTTTGAATAAATTCGATGAACTTTTGTTCTAGAATTAAAGTGAATTTTCCAAAAAGTTCTTCATTTTGTGTCAAGCTTTCCCGAATCTCCTCAATTATGTCCATATATCCGCTATTTTTACTCTTCATTCCACGTTTAATGAATAATGTCGCGAAACTCTCAATTGCTTCATTATTGTATGAAAATTGGCACCGAATAATATTTTTGAAAATGTCTTCCTTACTGAACCGTGCATCAATTAAGCTTGAATATGCGCTTTCACTTTCAATGTCATTCTTCAGTTCATATGCGAAGCTTTCTGCATTTGATGCTGTGTCATAAAACTCATCTGATTCCATTTCGATCTCTTGCAAGCTGATCGACACCGAGCTAATTAATAATAAAGTGAGAGTAATGTTTTAAATAGGTATCAACGGTTTTTCAAAATTTTAAATTTTGAAAATTATTTAAATATTTTACAACCATTAAGTTTCAAATATTTTTTTACCGTTACATTTTTTAATTTGGTTCTATGCCTTAAAATGGGGTGAAGTGCATCTGGCAGACTCGAGAATTCTGGAACACAGTTGTGCAGAATAATTCTTCAGAATTCTCCAGAATTCTGGAGGATTATTTATCAGAATTCTGGAGAATTTTTTGAAAAATGTCACGTGACACATTCGCAACATAATTTCAGAAAACAGAATTTTTTAACTGAATTCTGGACAAATAGTTCTGTAGAATTCTGTAATAGTTTTTATATAAATTGTCAAAAACACCTTATACTATTTAGCATTAGCTATTTAGCTACAACTGTAGATTACAGATGAACTTACTTCGTTACGTAATAATCAAATTACAGCTGTAATTTACAGATGGTGTTTATAGCTTAGCTGCTGAGCAGTACTTACAGTTGATGTAATTTTTCGTGAATTCCGCTGGTTTTGATGATTTTTTCCTTTTACAAAAAAATTGAATAGAAAACAAGGTACAGTAGCGTGCAAAAGTTTGAAAACGATTGGTAATTAATAACTTTAAATGCTTTCTAGCACGAATTCAATGAATCGTTATGTATAAACATAAAATTAGCATTATATTTTTTATTTGAATGCAGCATTCAGTTTTTGGTTCTATTCCGAATGACACAAGTCGGTAAATTAATCAGAAATTCAGCATCAACCTGGTGTGACTTTGGCATGGTGCTAGATTTAAATCAAAGCCATTCGTAAGTATTTCCTAGGTTGTTTACTATCATTATTTAGGTTTTTGTTTCCAGTTTTTATTCTTGTATTATTTTATTTATATTTTAAATGTTAACATCCAGAGTGAAAAATTTGATTTTTATAAAACTGTAAACTTAACTGTAAGTACTGCTTAGCAGCTAAGCTATAAACACCATCTGTAAATTACAGCTTTAATTTGATTTTTACGTAACAAAGTAAGTTCATCTGTAATCTACAGTTGTAGCTAAATAGCTAATGCTAAATAGTATAAGGTGTTTTTGACAATTTATATAAAAACTATTACAGCATTCTCCAGAATTATTTGTCCAGAATTCTCCAGACTTTAATACTTTTGTGAGCATCGCTTTGCTTGATGTTCATATTTTTAAATTAAGTTAATATCTCAGTAGTGCTTCATAAGTTTAAAAATGGCATAATTTAGGAAGAAATTCAATTACAACGTCCAGTCATTGGCTTCAAAATTATTTATTTACTTTGCAAATTTAAAAGACATTAAAACAAACTGACTCATGCTGAACAAAATGTTTTGTGAACATTGGGAACTGCATGACGAAATGTTTACTAAGGGAATTTTCCGTGATTTTTATTTCTGTAATCATCAAAATAGCCAGTTTTCAGTTTGTGAACGCGACACATTTCAAAAGTGTTATCTAATTCCGATTCAGTCAGTAGTAACTAGAGCATAATAGCTAACGTAAGAAATTTCAAATCGAATAAGTTTTCCCGCGTAATTATAATCAAAATTTATATGATTACGGGTGTGGAAGCTATAAAAACATCAACGGTTTTTCGAAGATTCAAAATTTAACGGTTTTCAATATTTTAAAATTTTGGGGTTTTGGAAATAGAGCTTTTTAAAGTCATTCCAAATGTAACTCAAAAGAAGCTTCTTGATACTAATTTACAAATAACAAACGAAAGTTGTAACATTAATAATTTAAAAGACAACAATCAAATGACTTACAAAACTTAGCAATTTCTTAGAATAATTAACAAGTCAGACTTTTCTTGATACTCAATCTCTAAAGTTGCATGACTTTCTATTCCAAAAAAACTGTTCAATAATTCTAAAAATCATCAAGGTCGAGGTTGTTGACATTCTCTTATCAATATCGTTTCTCTTTTTGCCAGAAATATTCCGAAAAATACCGAGAAGATCTGTGCCTTTTCGTGGAATGAATGAAGTCATCACAATATGTACATCCATAAATATTATACGACATAATTAAAGAATCTCAGCCCTAAGTAAACATTGATAAGGAATTCCCATACGATAAGGCCAGACATTGACATGTTTACTAAATAGCCGAAAAAGAGAGCCAAAAAACCAGTTAAATGCGCTAGAATCGCACATGTGATGAAGCCGCCGTATAAGTTTTGTGTTTATAGTTGCTAATTTTATTTGGGTTTGTTTGTATATCTTACCTTGTAGAACCGGATTGCCGAATGCTGAAATCGTCATCACTTTTCGTATCAACAACAGTTTTGAAGCTCATCTGATGCTTTCCTTTCGTTTCTAAACTTGGCCAGCTATTTCTGTTCTCCATGATTTCAAATGCACTTTTAGAAGCCACAAAAACAAAGTTTGGGGGTGGAATGAACATTTTTGGTGGGGGTAAATTCATTGGAGGCAATTGAATTGGTGATGGCGATGAATTCTCACTTTGGCTGTTACTTTCTGATCTATAATCAGGCAGATCACCATTAATTTTGTAATTGTTGTTAATTTCCTTTTTAGAACTTGATGAACTTTCACTTTGCGGACGTGTCTCGGAATTGAGTGTTTTTATAGCATTTGAAATTGTTTCCATTAGTTCCTCGTCACTCTCTTCACTCATTTTGATCGATAGCTTGGAAGAAATATTAATCAGCTTTTGTTTCATATTTTTTGACAATTTCTTCCCGATCAAGATGTCCTTGAACTCATCAATGAATTGTAAAAGTGAGGTCAATGCTGTTCGATCGTGATTAAAATTTTCAGTAAAATTGTCCAATAAAATAATTATATCAAATCTGTCGTAATAATTGGCGGAATGAAGCTCTTTAATGAGTTGTCCATAAACAACAGATTCTCTTTCGGAACATCCAGTGATTTTTGATGAAATTAAGGCACGTAAATGTTTCTTCATTAAGCATGTATTAAAATGTGGAACAATTGTGTCAGGCAACTTTACAGCAACCTGAGTGATCGATTTAATTAATATCGGCTTGTTTACAGCATGCTCAATAAGATGTGTTGCCAATTCCTTAATCATATCCTCGCCAATTGAAAATTTCACTCCTGATGTTTCTCTCAAGATGTACGCTACATTCGTTGGTGATAATTTTATTAATAATTCTTTGAATTTCTCAATCGGATCAATGACATTAGTGCTTTCACAAATCGAATGACTTTTCGGTATTATTATGTCTGGTGTTGATTGCTTTCTTATCATTGGAACTTCAACTTCTTCTTTCTCATTCTCAACATCACTAATTTCAAGTTCTTTCTCACTCGCTGATCCATTTGATATTTTTACAAAATTTTCCGGAATTACTTGCTTCAATAATACGTCATCGATGTCCATAACTTTATCATAAATCTCAGCAAAAATGACATTTGTTAATGGTTCCGAAAAGATTGAATCGAATTTGTATAAAAAATTTATTGTACCTTTAACGCCGTCGTTTGTTAAGGCTTCATTGCTGTATAACATTCCAATAAATCTCACAATTTCGATACATTTGGCTTTTAAATTCTCATCAGGTGCTTCAAATGACTTTTTAATATAGTCAAAACACAATTGAAGCATCTCATTTTCAAAAGAATCGGGAAATATAATGCTTACATCATATGCAGTTTCGACACAATACAATAAATTCATGTTGCCGGATAAAATTGTTTCGAAAATTTTCTTTGTTTGACGAACAGTTTCACTACGGGATGTGTCCTTAGTATAACGATTATTTGAGCCTTTCAATGATTTATTTTTGATTGTTTTATTAACAGCTTCAATTATTTCAAGGTCTTTATAGCTACGAAAGAATGGTTATTAGGAGAATAATTTGAATAAATGTTTGTGAGGGGTCGTGAGAGGGTTGTTGACATGCTCTGTGCCTTAGAGACAATGTTTTTGCTATCTTAAATGTTCTAATTGATTGTGGTCACTAGGAAGCTATAATCACTAGTCTGCTACGTAAGTTAAAGGATGAAAGGGATCCAAAAATGATAATTTAAGGATGCAAGTCGAAAGAACCCTAGATTGAACCTCTATGAAAGCTTTCGTCAGCAATGATGTGGTTTAGAATCACAAATTTTATACAAAAGATATTAAAGTTACAGCAAAATGTCACAGATGAAGCCAAAAACAGCTTCAAGACGCACAAGAAAATCACTTCCAAGAATGCAAGCATAATGCCATAGGACATAGAATTAACCTAGCAACTACAGATTTTACTCTCTAAATCAAGTAATTAAATTATGCAGACGTAAAGTAAGTAGGAAAAGTTCCATTCATCTCTTAATATCATCAAAGGACAATGCAACGATTAAATAAACATTACAAAGTTCTAAGAAGCAACAAAATCAGAATCATGAAATCCAACCCCCTCTAGTACACGCTCAATAGCACTGCTTACTTACTTTCTTTTAATTTTCGAAGTTTCATTCTCGTAGTCCGTAATAAAATTTATTATCGCTGCTGTATGAATATTGTGTTTATATAGTTTAACTTCATTTTTCACACGATTTGATATGATTGATATTAGACATTCAAGACAGTCTTGCGACACTTTTGATTCCACAATATTTTTTGATAACACTTCCAGAAAATGTGCAATATTACAGTTAATGAAGAAATCAGCCACATATAATTCACCAATAAATTTGATAACTCTTATGGCACTTCTGACCTTTTGAATTTGCTCCAAATGACTTAATGGAACGTCAGATTGATGATGTTTATTAAATGTTTCGGTACATAATTTAGTAAAATTGTCTTTAAATGCTGCAGACTTCTTATAATATGCATATTTTGCCGACGATATTCTCTTTGCTGCTTCACTAAACTCTTTATATAAATCATCTTTAATAATTGGATAATTAAAAATTGCTACTGACAGCTGGTCTGGATCATTGAGTGCTACATCATTTAAAGGCACTTGTTGGTTATTCTCAATCAAATCCAGTAATCGCATTGTTTGGGGCGAAAAGCTTGTTATGCTGCCCACAATCAAATTGTCAACTAATTCTTTTGAACTAATCATTTTCTCAAATACATTTACACACGAAAGATAACAAAATTAAATTATTTTCACAACTCTATTTACTAATGTTTTTGGCCTATTTTATCCACAAATTGCAAAATCACAACTTTATCGTCTTCAAATCAACAGTCTTGTGTTATTATTATTATTATCGAGTCCAAAAACAGCTCTTGCATGTACAGAATGTCACAAAACACTGAATGAGCTTATTTTCCGTGTGTATTCGATTACTCAGAGAATATAAATGTGAACTGAGAGTCAGGATGTATTTGTATAAACGTGATTGGTTGATTCTTTACTCTCTTAATGCTATGACTGATCTTTTGCTTCAGCATGTATGTTTTATGCTTGAATTTTCACGATTTCCTTTAGTAGTCACTTTTTTCTTGTCTTGATTTTTTTTTGTGTTGTTACTTCGAATGTTATATGTGTTATTTAATAAATAATGATCTAATCAGCTGTTCTGGCTTGTTTGTGTAAATTAAATGAGTCTATACACAGTTTTTTTCTCTGAATTTTAATAAATTCTCTAATTTTTCGGAAAAACTTTTACAACATGAAGTTGCACGCCAATTTAGACCAATTTTTCAAATTCTACAAAATCGTTAAAAGTTTAAATCTCAAGAAGTCGTTACTTTAGTAAATTTAAAATACAACTAAAGTAGTGACATCCGACAGATTATAGGAATGTATTGCACACATGATGCTGTTATCTTTCGATACATGGCTGAAAATGATGAAATAGAACAGATGCTGTTTATTACAAGCACATTTATCTCAATTGTTTTGATTTAAATTGATTAATTAATAAAAGAAATGTCACAGAATAAAAATTTTATTGCGCTATGTCAAGAATCATGGACTTATTTATTAATTTTCCTGTTTCTAATAGTATAAATTTATTAAAAACACGATTTAATGTGCAGTAATTAATGAGGTCATTATTAAAAGTGTATTTATTTGATAATAATCTAATCGTTTAAAAATAAAATTATCAATACTGAAATTTTAATGAATTTCTTTTCACGAATTAGTAACATCAAAAATGGTCGAAAAAATTTAACGGTTCCCGTAAATTCAAATTGATATGGTATAAAAAGTCGCGAGAAATATTTTTAAAATATCAAATATCCGTTAAATTTTCGTCAATTATTCATTCACAATTGTAAGATTCCCACCGACATCACGAGAACTTAGTTCATTATTAAAGGTATATATTTCACATAATAAAAATACAATATCAAAAACCCGCATCAATAAAATATCAACAGGTTTTACACATTAACAGAAGGTTAGAAAAGAACAGAAGTAAAAAAATTACAAACTCAATTCCCATAGTTTTGATTTATTTCATTTTCATTCATTTTAATCTAACGAAATTTGCCCTGTACGTTTAACTATTAATTATTAAATGTGAAAATTGTCGCATGCACAGTGTGTATTGGGTGAGTTGTGAAAAGTTGTGTCAATATTCAATTTCTATGTCATTTTGTGATTTATGATTATGGCGCTATTCTTGCTAATCGTCCTAGTTTGATGCACGCTTCATTTTCTGCTGTAGAGTAATGTAATTCTGGAAGAAGCACCCTAGGGCCCAACTTACTTCATGTCCACGAATCTTTTTGAAAAGCTAAGGAACAAGATACAAACCGTCAGCACAATATTAATTAGGAAACAGAACTAAGTGACACTTACTCTGATATTTGTTTGTGGATTCAAGCCAAAACCGTCCTGAAGAAGAACTGATATGTAGACAAGATCCAAACACATAAATGGTTGGTCTGTATTTGCAGTTGCACACGATTCGCGTGCCTTCTTTGTAAAGTCAGCAACTGTCACTTCGCCACCTAAAAATGGATCTACCATTCCTGTTTCTATTGCACGATCATAATAGTATGAAAATGCATTAATAATATGCTCTTGTATGCGTATTGGCTTTGGCTTTAAAAGTGGCATCACTTGACGCTTTACAGATTCTACACATGTTTCAAAATCAACTTCGGGATTATCAGGCGATGCCTTCTTATTCTCCTTTCCAGATACCGAATATTCATTATTTTGATAAATCCATGATTTATTCTTAACGATAGGATTAACGCACTCATTTTCAAACGATGTCTGATTATCAGCCTTCTGATAGGAAATCACAGCGTGTCTTAGAGCCATTAATCCAAGTCCAAGATAACTATTTGTAAAGACATTTACTTCTGAATTAAAAACAGGCACAGGGTGAATAAAATCCTTATAACTCGGTTGAATTTCATTCAACTCGTAAGTAACTTGAGTGGAACCGCCACCTAAGTCAAGTGCAGCTGCCGTGTTCCTCGATGTCAAGCGATTTGATAAGTAATTGACAGTAAACCACGAGAAGATTCCCTGAAAATTGCAAAGAAAGTATTAAAAATAGACTTGACAGTGTGCATGACTATTTTGAATGATACGAAATCTTTTCTATTGGATAAATAATTTTCCAACTCATGGGACATTGAGATAGGTCATGGATCCACATTTTCTCATCTATAATAACTATAAAGATAATTACCTCGTCAGTTCCATCCATTATTTCAACGGAATGATCATTTGTCATGAATCCAGACTCGGTGAAAATATCTCTTACAGCTTGAAGAATTGCTTCTGATTTACTGGCACCTAACATTCTTAATCCAGCTGTTGCTTTTAAAGCTATCGGTGTATTGGGCCAATATTGCTCAGGAATGAACTGTTTCGCTTCATCCAATAGCTGCTTAATCTGAATAGCTCCTTTCTCAGGCGTCAATGAAGAAAGACCAGGCTTCAATTCCTTAAATAATTCATTATCTAGCACTAGTCGTCCGTCAAGATAGGCTTTATGAAACTCAAATGCCAATACACGACTTCCAGTCGATCCAGCGTCAAAAATTGCTCCATATTGCTTCTCGGAATATCCGAGTTGAGTTGCAATTGTATCGATAATGGGATGTAATGAGTCTGTATATATGCTGCAAATATTTAATAGAATCAATATTTTTTAAGCAAGGCCATCTTCTTTTTGGATTGTTGTTGACGCAGAATAACTAGTTAATGACTATGAGTAGATAATTTAATTATTATGAATGTGTGATTGGTTGTGGATGTATTGTACTGGATGCTAATAAGAACAATATTTCATTAATTGCATGTACAATTACATAATCCTCAAAAGTGCACGTCATCAACACAAAAGTGATAAGAATAATCCAAATTTGGACATACAGTAAACAGAAAGTCAACGTACCCAAAGAAAATGATCAGAATTGTTACAGTGACAACTAGGCACATAAAACTAAAGAATAAACCAGCATTTTGACTTGTTTTTGGACCATGTTTGTTGTGAATCTTCTTGATTGGTTTTTTTTCGTGACTGTCTGTAATCAGCTAAAAAGAAATATGCATTAAAAACCTTTAAAATTGACATTTAGAATTGTACAATATTACAAGTTCGTATTCGTAATCTGAATTCTTCATTTTAACATCGAAATTTCCATTTTTTCTGTTGTGCATGAACTTATGTTGAAATATTTTATAATGAAACTTTTCACTAAATGAATAATTCGATCGATAAAATGAAAAAACAATTAATAATTAAGCAAATAAAGTTTTTTTTGAAAAATTTATAAAGAAAGTCGAAGAAAACTTGTATTTTTGATGCTCGAAAAAGCTTTTTGTGTCTGTGAGAAATTATTAGCAAATATTCATGGAAATACAGCTGTTGTTCTTGGTTTACTTTGTCTGTGAAACAGATATTGCTTTTTGTAATTTAAAATTGCTTAATGAGCTTCAGAAAATGGCTTAATCAATTTAAAAATTGATGAAAATTGTCTGTATGTCTATGAAAAAACGCAACATAATTGACTTTGGATCAAATTTGTAAGTTTGAATTTTACAAAACCGTTTTTGTTTTAAATTTTTGAAAGCTCATTAATTTTACAAATCTTTTCAATAAATTACACTGTTATGTCCACAAAATGCTTTACAGCCACGACCACCGAATGACTAAACCAATTTTCTATTCGTTTGAATAATTAATCGTCTTATCTTGTCATTTAAAGATTAAAATTTATGACAGTCGAGTTATTCATGCTTTCATCCATAAAAGCATAAATACACCAAGTACTATGACAATTAGTTGTAATTAAAGTACAGAATTCACAAATGCCGGTTCCGTGAGCATTTTCAAGGTTTCTTTAGGATATTTCATAATTTTCATTTATTTATTGAACTTTGATCCATAAGCGATTCCAATGCTCACCTTACGCTTTCTTAAATTATCATTTTTACTAGGCATAATGGCTATAAAATATTATTTTTATCAGGCACTATTTATGATAATTTAATAATTGTCTTTTTAATTGTTATGCACTCGAGTATCATAAGGCGATTGTCAATCAATAAAATCCGAACATTACGATTGAAACGATAGAAACTAAATGGCAAAAACAAATGGGCAAACTAATATTTTTTTAAAATTCCTAAGTGGAGAGTCTATAAGTAAGTAGTAGTAATAATGTGCTGCTCTATACCACTCTATACATGCATACATGTGTCTAGATGTATACAAGTCCAATAAGATTAGATTGCAGCAATGTTATATCATTTTAAAATACAGTCACAGATCCTTTACATGCTCAATAAAAAAACTTATCACTGTGACTGACTTACAATTAAGAGTGATAATCTCGAGTGATATTGCAAATTTGTCATATTTGACCATGAATTAACACAGATCTGTGTATTGTATACAAATGGAAACAGTTGGCAAAGTGTAATGCTCTGTGGACGGGCAGATGAGTATTTTCGAAAACAGTACGCATGCTTCAAGTCTCGCGAAAATTATTTTTCATTATTTATATCTAAAATAAATAGAAAATAATGTGCAAACTTTTAAAATCAGTAAGAGATTTGAAAATGTCAAGCAGTTCTTGCATCAGAATGACGAATCATTTCAATAATGTTGTGAAAATTCGTTAAAATCTTATAAGATTTTGAAAATCATCTGATCTTTTTTACTCTCACGATTTCGAATTGAGAGAGCCTTGCCAAGTCATAGAATGTAATTGGTCACAACTTAGTTGCATGATAATGAGTCATCAAGATTCAGATCTAATTGATTGAGGAAATTTTCTTGTATTACATCAGGAACAAGGCTTTTTTGAATGAGGATGAATGATCCTCATTTATGATGCTTTAAATAAATTAAGTACAAGATTGTACATAAATTTAACGTTGCTGAAAAATTTGAAAAATATGTAAAACTTTAAGCTCAAAACGTGAAGGAAAATTTCAATTTCAAATGTGCGTTAAAACTTGAATACAAGAAATACGTTAGAACTTTAATGTCCAATAGTCTACATCCAATTAGTATTCAAGTTCCAAATTAATAGTAGCTTATAATATAACTTCAAGTTCCAATTACTTAATTAATTCAATTTTCAAGTGCTAATTATAGTTACACACAATTGTATCAACTCCACAGCTATGATTCGTTTCCATTTAAGCCTTTGTGTTGTATTTACGCTGTTGCCTGTAACAAATCACTTCAATGACTGTTGTTCGTACCGTTTGCTTACAATTATTTTAATTTAATACTGACAGTCTCGATTTGAATCTATTCAACGATTTAAATCGAGGGCTCTTGCACTGAAAAATGCTACCTCTTTGTATTCACAATCCCAGATTACTGTCTTTAATTGGAAATTCAAGACTTCAAAGCATCCAGTAAATAAAAGATCCAGTGAAATAAATACCTCAAAAGGAGACATGCGCTCCTCGGGAGAGTATTGAGTCATTGCATGTTCGAAAGAGAGAAAAAATCTCACTCACTCTCTAGAAACTACCTTATATATTTTTCCCATGAAGTCATTATTGTTCTGTACTTCGACAAAAGTTGTTGTTAAAGATATTTTTCTTCCATAAAAATCAAATATTCTATTGAATTAATTGCAGTAGTTTTTAACGACAATTCAGAAAACACTTCATTCTAATCAGAACTTTTGTCGAAGTAACACTTAATTTTGAGCAGAGAGAGCAAATTTTATTTTTTTACTGTGACAAACTTACAAAATATTTTAATTAAATAATCATGTCCGAGACAGTTAATGACAAGAAGGAAGTGCGTGTATGGATCGATGGATGGTAAGTTGATGTCATCAATATAAATTAAAGCCCTAAATATTAATGCACATTCGTCAACTTTGACATTATAAAAAATAAGTGGGAAGTTCCTAAATCGATTTTTTCCCTGTGTCTCGCGCGCAAAAGTCATTGAATGTGGAAAGTTTTTCCTCTTTAATTCACTTACAAAAGTCAAATAGTTTGTAGGAAATGTCATAAATTATCCAATACAATAAGAACAAGTGCCAAAGTGGCAAATTTTTTAAATATCGCTGGATGTTTATAGCTTTTGACCGGCTTATATTTGACATGCGTGTGAAATGGCGTGATGTTCTGATCTGACGAATCTACATTGTTTTTTGATAGTTTTTCGGAAAGGCGCGTGGAATATTTCAATCACGGATCTAAGTTTTTATTGATTACTTGCTGTGGATCTAATTATAGACGAGATAAGATTTGTTATAGCCTTGGATCTACCGAAAATAATTTAGTGATGACTTAAAAATTCCAGGTTGTCTTATAAATAGTCATAAGTGTTTATCTACTTATCCACGAGTAGCACTGAATAAATATTTATGTATCATCTGCTTCTTCAATGAAAAGAAGAAACCACATAAACAAACTGAATCAGACTGTTTGTAAGCAATAAAAATGTATTATATTCGTATGAAAAGTGCAAGTATTTAATTGCATAAATTAACCAATGCCAAAACATTTATTTGCTCGTAGCTGTTAATAAGGAAGTGTGAATACCTTCAACAAAACGTCATTTCCATAAATTAATAGACGTATCAAACTACTTTGCCGGTTTGATGCTGCTACGATCCAATAAGATTCTCAATGTCAATCGAAATCTAAAGTCTCGTAATTTCTTATGTCTATTTATAGCTATGACATGGTTCATTTTGGACATGCAAATGCATTGCGGCAAGCCAAAGCTTTGGGAGATAAATTAATTGTTGGAATTCACAATGATGCAGAGATCACAAAGCACAAGGGACCTCCTGTCTTTACACAAGAAGAACGGTAATTATCATGGGGAATCACGCTATCCGGTCCAAGAGTGTATCGCATAGCATTAAATAATTTTCTTATTGGAATGCTAATGCGATAACAGAATGTCATACGATCGAGGGAATCGGGTCTTAAGTTCAGATTTGCTCATTCATTAATTTACTCCTCACGATTGATAAGATTCGAGGCACGAAACAATTTTATTTTCCTTATCATAGAGCTTACGTAGTATTTTAATTTTCTTTACATTTTGAAGAGGTGATTCCGGTTGTTCTCATTATTATTTATGAGTAATTAAACTAATCTATCTTTACATCATTCAACACTTTCAGATACAAAATGGTCAAGGGTATCAAATGGGTCGATGAAGTTGTTGAAGATGCGCCATATGTGACGACTTTAGAAACTCTCGATGAATATCAATGTGATTATTGTGTGCATGGCGGTAAGTGATAATCGATAAATTTCATATATCTTGTGGATCTGACGCAATATTGCAAGACAAACTGTTTAGTTTCGATCGTCATGTAGCATTGATTGATGCCTGTGCTTTTTTGCGCCTTTTCTAAAAATAAAGTTGCACAATTTTAAGTGTTGATAAAGCATTTGTATCGTAAACAAAGTTTTAAGATTGTACGCATTATGTGCTGGTGATTTTTGTAACGATCGTAAGATGTGCTTGGGGGTTTTCAGATGATTTAAACTTTGGATTAATTTAAACCTCGAGATTAAAACATTAGATTGAATTATATCCTAAGTTCTAAAGTATTTACTAATTTCTTATAACTTTTCATCCAAACAATTGAAAGCACTTTCAAGCCTCTCTCCAACTCATCAACAAAACACTTTTCAGCGCAGTTTTTTTCTAGACACTTGTTCCACGTAACAATTGATAAGGCGTTGAACTCGTCAATTATCAATTAAAGCATGAATAAGTAAATACGGATGTTTATTAATAATTCATAATCTTTAATAATTTACAGACGACATCACCACAACAGTTGACGGATATGACACGTATCATTTGGTGAAGACAGCAAAGAGATATAGGTAAGCATGTTCTGATTAATAATTTACAGCTACTAATGACACGATTTACATGTTTTTTAGGGAAATCCAACGTACTCAGGGCGTTTCAACAACTGACTTAGTTGGACGAATGCTTCTGATGACTCGAAATCACTTCCAACAAGGAGAATCTGAATACAGTGTGGGAAAAGATGGTGAGTAATGAATTTTAAGGTCTTATTCTGTGTGTTTTATTTCTATGCTCATTTCTGTATTTTTCTTTTATCTTAATAATTCCTGCATTTGCTTTGCTTTTGATGTCATGATTTTGGTAGACAATTGGCTTGACAAGAAATCTGCAATGCCATTTGGAGCTATCCAAGCGAGTAATGTTTTTCTTTAACATTTTCTCATGATTTCTTCCTATTGCTTGACTAACTTCTTCGCGTTTTAACATTTTTCATTTATGTGAGTCATTCAATTATGACATCCTTAAATCTGGATAAATTCCATTTATAGACGTCATTAATGAATGACTATTTAAAGTATCCTTATTAATTCCTTTTTCCTTATCATTGCCATAACATTAAACATATTCAAGAACATTTCAATAAATTACTCAAGAAATATTCTATCCCTCAAGAACCCTCAAAACTTGGACAAGATCATGCTGCACGATCGCCATGGACAGGCTGTTCTCAATTCTTACCTACCACACAAAAGATTAATCAATTCAGCAATGGAAAACCAGCCGAACCGGGTGATAAAATTGTTTACGTCGCTGGTGCATTTGATTTATTCCATATTGGACATCTTGACTTTTTGGAGAAAGCTAAAGAACAAGGAGACTTCTTGATCGTTGGATTGCACACAGATCACGTTGTTAATCAATATAAAGGAGGCAATTATCCAATTATGAATCTTCATGAACGTGTTTTGAGCGTTCTTGCATGCAAGGTAAAGAAATGTTTAAATTAAATCCTAGGCTTTTGAGCAATCTTAAGTTCCAAACTTATTTGCATTTTAAATATCTTTACAGTATGTAAACGAAGTCGTTATCGGAGCTCCCTATGAAGTCACCAAAGATTTAATAGAACATTTCAGTGTCGATGTCGTTTGTCATGGACGAACAATAATCTCAGAACAGCATGGCGATCCTTACGAGATTCCAAAGAAAATGGGTTTATTTAAGATTATCGATTCCGGCAATGACATGACAACTGAAAAGATTGTCCAGAGAATCATCATTAACAGGCTTGATTTTGAAAAGCGGAATAATAAGAAAGAAGAGAAGGAAATTGCAATTTATGAGGCCATGCAGAGAACGACAAAAGTAGCTGAAAAGTGTGGTTGAACTTTCATTTACTAAATCTGTCTTTATTTTCCGTTTAACTTTCTGACAAAATCTTCTATTTTTCATTTCCGCGTATTTAAAAGAATCTTATTTTTTTGTGTATCCATTGAGATTGTGCGTTATGTCTCATGGAGCTTATTTTTGTTATGTATCTATTTTCTATTCTTTCACTACGTGTTGCTTAATGTACAATAAATTCCTTTTTTATTTACTATAAAGTTGAAGAAACTTAAAAATTCCTCCTCGATTGATTTATTGGTGAATATACTTAAGCTTTTAGGCTTACGATTGAGACAAGAAAAACTGATGATGATGAAACTTATGCTAAAGAACTTATAATGTATTTATTGAACTTAATTAATAATGACATAAAACATAAATAAAAAAGTTTAATCATAATATTACGAATCTTTGGTCGTCTTGCTAAATTTATGTGGAAACGATTATTTTTGTAGAACTGGAATAAATACGTGATTCTATAGTTAACTAGTTTTACAGCTATAACAGATGTTACTCACAAGAAGAAGAAGCTAAAATTCTCTTTGTCGTCAGAAACACGTACAAATCATTTAACACATTGTTGTTGTTTAAAGTCATGCAAATCTCGTCATTCAAGTGTGATGGAGAATGGCATAGAAGTCTAAAGTTCAGTAATATTTAAGAAATAGAAACGATTAAATGAGATGATTTGGTTTATAATAAGCATAGATTTAAGAAACAAGTTTAATTCTATATAGTGATGATAGTCCACTTAGCTGCATGATCGTAAGACGAATGCGTTGCTTAATAAGTCGTTCATAAATAATGCTCAAGTTTTGGAGAGGTTTGATTTTTATTGACATGAAAGTTTCACATTAGAAAGAATTTTGTGACAGTTTGGGTAAGGATTGTGTCTAAAATCTCATATTTTTTTATGGATTTCATTTATGAACGACCTTTAGAGAATTACCCCTCATTGATCAATCATAAATCATAGATTAGGAGAAAGTTAATCTCCTTATTTTAATTTTTTAAGAGTTGTGTGTCATTTAATCTTTAATTGTGGCAACGAGCTTTAAAAATTATTAATCTCAGTCCGAAAAGCTTTTGATTAATATAAATATCAGCACGAGCTTTAAGTCGTCATTATTATTATTCCATGCTTTACTTCCTCAAAAACGCAAAATTTATTAATTCTCTCATAAAATGACAAACTTTTATCTTATCAACTATTAATTTTGGTATCTCTATGTGCTTTTATTTGCATCATCACATGTAATCATGCCTTTTATTGCTGATTAATGAATAATTTTTCCATTTTCAAGCGTTTCGTGGGGCATTTTTCTAGTTTTGCAATGACGAATCGGTACTTTTTGACTAGGAAATGCCATTTAAACCACTTTTCGTGTGCTTAAAGATGTCACATATTAATTCAAATGGTAAAGCTAGAAAAGGCATAGGGAAAGCCTTGATATTGATATTGACAAGGATATGGAACTGATTGCCTGACTTTCGATCATTTTTGATCAGTTCCACAACCTTTATGATATTGATGACATTGAACAAGCATTTTTGCTGTTGCTGTAAACAGCCTTGAAAAAATTGAAAATTTAAATTTTAGTCACATGCAGTCACATGCTTCATTATTGCTAATATCTTTGTGAAGAACTTGAAGCAATAAACGATAAAATTACAAGATATGAAATGATAACCGTTCTTTGATTCCATTGTAAATTACACCATTCAAAAGGAGTGGAGCTGGGGGATTTCACCCTTCTTCATATTTATTATCAAACATTCTTCAATTTGCCACGATTCTGTTTGTTGCAATTGAATCTTTTGAAGATAAATCTTTGAAATGTTTCCGAATGATCAACAACAATTTATTGCTTATCCTGTTGGCTAGAATATCATCAGTCAATTCTATATTGTCAACCAATTTTGAGGGGGTCTTTACAGACTCTGATCCATCAACTTTAAAGTTTCATGATAAATAATAGTCTTGATTGATTAAACATACTTAAAGTACGCAATATGAATCATGATTTCATATTATTCATAGAAATAAAAACAAGACAAGCCTTTTAATGCCAATAAAAATTCTATTTGCTCTCTATATCACTATTGATAAGAGTTTAAAGTTGTTAGCATAAATGTTTTCTATAAAAGAATAGTAATTTGCTTACGACTGTTCAGTTTTGATTTTTCTGTCATAGAGTGAAAAAAGAAGCAAGTGGAAATAAGATCTAGTGAGGAAAAAAATGAAGACTCCCATATTATTAGTGCTATGTGCTCTTTGTGGACTAGCTATTAGTGTGCCCACTTGTAATTACAGTACAATAGGCACAACATATGTTTGCTTCATGAACAGTTCCATTGCTGCGGCAACTGACACAATCGGAGGAACTATTGAAGCTGGAAAATCAGAAACAGACGTAAAACGAGTAACGACACTAGATGCAGCTAATAAAGATTTGATTAAACTGGTTTTAAACAAATTTGCAAGCTTAGAGGCACTTCAAATACAAAAAGGAGGTGTCGCCAGTATCGACGTAACAGACTTTCCATCTGGAAAATGTGGAGCACTAAAACAACTACAAATTTGGAACGGACAAATTAATGCAATTGGAGCACAGGATACAAATATTTTTGGAGCCTGTTCTTTGATAGAAGAAATCGACTTAACAGGAAATCAATTGGCTAAACTTCATTCTGGATCGCTGCCAACAACTTTGAAAAAGTTAATCTTAACAAACAACTTAATCAATCCAAATTACCAAACATCATCATTTTTTGGATCAACAACTTCATTACCAGGTTTAACTCATTTAAGTCTATCGGGAAACAAAATATCTACCCTTTCATTAGTTAATCTTCCATCTGAAATTTTAACTCATCTCGACTTTTCCAATAACTTATTGGCTGAATTTCCTTTAGTAAACTTACAGAAAAGCACCAAGCTTGTAAGTTTCTACTTAAATGGAAATAAATTAACATCTATACCTGAAACATTAGTTAGTTCAATGCCTGATCTAATAGAATTAAAACTTGGCTCAAATCTCATAACAACAATTCATCAAGATGCCTTCAAATTAAACACAAAATTAACATCATTGGATATTAGTGCTAATCCTCTTAAAACCTTGAATGATGCGGTTTTAAAAAATATATTAACTCTCACGTCACTTGACATCCACGACATTCAATTAGAATCAGCAAGCTTTACACCTTTAAAAACTGTCTTAGAAGCACTGGCAAATCTTCAAAAACTTGACATCAGCAGTAACTCAGTTGGTGCTATTGACACACTATTTATCAAAAATGTCAATCTACTGGATTTAAGCATCAGCAGCATGAAGTTGAACCAATTTACAAATGAAACATTCAGCACACTGGTAAAGTTACAAAATTTGACATTCAGCAACAACGAAATTGTTGAAATTCCTGATAAACTTTTTGAGAAGACAACGGAAATGAAAAGATTAATTGCACGAGAAAATAAAGTTGCGATTTTAAAAGCTTCAACATTTGCAACCATGAAGAATTTGGAAGTTTTGGACTTTACAAGCAATAAAATCAACAAAATTGAAAAAACATTCTTCGATCAGTTTACTGGCTTAAAAGAAGTAAGATTCGCTTCTAACGAGTGCATCAATGAAGATTTCGTGCCATTTTATAAAAATGACACTGCAACAATGGCAAAATTCCAGAAATGCTTTGACAACTACAACTCGGCACGTTCTATTGTTATTTCTAATATTTTATTGGTGTTTGTTGCCGCAGTTTTTAAGTTTATGTAATTTACTTTGCGATAAAAATTCATATTAAATTATAAAATAATAATCAGTTGATAAGTTTATTATGAATAAATAAAGATTTAAGTAAAAAGAAACATAAATAAATACACCGTAATAAATAAATTATTGCTCAATGCTTTATTATAGCACTATCATAATTTGTGACTATATTATTGAAACCTTCCCAATAGAATTTAATTTCAAATCAAGAAAATATTTGATTTGATGTTTACAATCAATGAATCTAGGATAAAATCAGATTTAAAGAGTATAAATTACTTTTTTAAGCTACTCTGGATATTTTTCTTGGAAAGAAGTTCTACTTTCATTTGATTTCGCGTAATCCACTCCGAGAATGCTTTATTTCAAATGGCTGAAATTTCAATGATTATAAAGTTTGAAATTTCTTCTCTTCCAGAAAAAATTAAAAAATCTGAAACAGAATCCAAATTAAGAACACAATTGAATATCATCCTTTTATTTGTTTTAATACCTAAAACATTGCAAAAATATCAACAATTAGAATATATTATTTTTATCAATAATATTCATATCAATTCGAATTAATGAGAACTTATCTGTTGGAATTATCGATCTGGATTATTATAACGAGGAATTTAATACCTACCAGATATAACTAATGATAATGCTATCAGGCTGATAAAAAAAATTATTTTGATCTGATCGAAAGCACGACAGAATTTCTATAAAAGAATGCCACTGAATAATTTCGTGTTTAGTTGAATATTTAAAATATCAGATTATTCATCAGTAACAAAACAAGGAACATGAAAGGACTACAATATTTAAGTATCATATTAAGTTGTTGTGGATTATCACTTAGTGCTCCAACTTGTGACTATAAGATGATTGAAGATAAATATGTATGCTTAATGAGCGACTCAGCATCAGAAGGTAAAATAATAGGAAGTCACAATGAAACTTACGGAGATGCTCATGTCTATCGTGTCACAACAACCGACGAAGCGAACAAAAGTCTGATTGGTAAAGTGATATCATTATACCGAAACTTAACAATATTTCAAATTCCAAAAGGGAATATTGAAGCCATTATAGAAGATGATTTTGTAAACTGTACAGCAAACTTAGTCGAGCTTCAAATTTGTAATGGAGATTTGAATACAATTCCTGCTGACGTCTTTAAAAAGTGTGAAAATTTAAAAAGCATCGATTTGACAGGGAACAAATTAACTATAATTACAAAAGAATCGTTACCAAATATAATAAATAAATTGATTTTGTCAAAAAATCAAATTAAAATTGACATGTCAAATATATTTGAGGTTGGTAATAATTTGGATGCTTTGACATATTTTGATCTATCAGGAAACAGCATAGAGACACTTATTGACTCGGTTCTTCCTTCACAAAGACTTATTCATCTAGATCTTTCAAACAATAAAATAAATGAACTTCCGGGAGCCTATTTTGACAATAATAAAAATCTAGAAGTCTTAAATTTGCAAGACAATCATATAGCTTCAATTTCACATACAATTATAAAGGAATTAACTAAATTAAAAGAATTAAGAATCGGATCAAACAATATAAGCACTATCGATGCAAAAGCTTTTCAGGATAATGAAATTATCGAATATTTGGACATGAGCAGCAATCCAATTGAAACATTGAATGCCAACTTATTGAAAAATTTAACAACTCTAAAAGCCCTCAACTTGTTTGACATTAAAATAACCAACACAAGTCTAGAAGATCTTAAAACAACGTTAGAGTCACTAATAAATCTCGAAAAGCTTAACATCAGTAAAAATATTATTGGTCCGATTGATGGGCTTTTCACAAAAAACGAAAAACTAAGTGTACTCGGCATAAGCAGCATGAGTCTTACTGAATTAGAAAAAGACATTTTCAGTGCCTTAACAAAGCTTGAAAGTTTGAATTTTGATGACAACGAAATTGTCGATTTACCGGAAAATATTTTCGAAAAGTTAACGGAAATGAAGAACTTCAGTGCAAAAAAGAACAAGATTAACAAATTGAAAGCCTCAACTTTTGAAAAGATGACAAATTTGCTAGAACTTGACTTTACAGGAAATGAAATTGATGCAATTGAAAGTACATTTTTCGATACATTGAATAAATTAAAAGTCGTACGATTTAGTGGGGGAAATAAGTGCTTTAATAGTGATTTTGAAGATTTTGTTCTTGATGAAGCAACGAGAGTAAAGTTCTACAAATGCTTTGAAAACTATAATTCAGCACGTACAGTTGTGATTTCAAATGTATTACTAGCATTTGTTATAATTTTTAAGTTTATTTAATTTTATTTCACCATATTTGACATTTTTCATTTAAAAACAAGATTTTCTTTGAAAAAGAATTTTTATGATTGCATTACGATTAAATGTAAAATTGAAATTTTGGTTTTAGGTTTTATTAAAAATTGGCTTATAACAAATTTATTTTAAAACGAAATAAAAAATTCAGTTTAGTAAATTTAAAAAGTAATGAATTTTTTTGTTTACTTGACATAAAAAACAGCTCCTGAGAATAATATTTCAATTATTGAAGACCTAATAACACAGCAATTACGTAATTGCACTGTTATTGCAAAGGCCATAAGCTTTAAACAACGATGATAAAAGAAAATAAAGCACACTCTTTATTTGCTCAGTCTAATAAAAACATTTATTTGAAGTGTGAATAATAGGTAAGAATTTTGTAGGATTAGCATCAATAACGAATTTCAAAAACATTTTTTAAGAATTAGCAAAGCCAATAAATTATAAAATTTCTTAATATTTCGCTATCTAAAGTGCATAATCAAGAATCCAAGTACCTGAAGAATGTAGAATACCAAATAGCACTTGATATATGTAATATTACATTCAATTATGTGTTTGAAGAATGATTTCTTAGAAAATATCAAGTTACACAGTGGAAATAAAGAATGTATTCGACGCAAGGTTTAACGACAACAGATAAGGAAACCATAAGAAAAACAACGGAGCACTAAAAGAACACAATATTGAAAGTGTTGTCATATATATTTTGCTTGAATTGTTTGTTTGTATGAAAGTTAATTAATTCAATTATCAATAATTATTAATAATATTATGAGAGTTTATAAATCTGCAAACTCAAGTTATAAACAAAGAATTAACAAAAGTTTTACTTAATTCTTCCCTTTGGGGCCATTCACTTATTACGTAACGCTTTTAGGGGGGGGGGGGGTCTAAGATTTTGTTACGGTTCAAACAAGGAAAATTTTTTTTCATACAAATTTTGTTACGAGGGGGGGGGGGGGGTCTAAAAAGTCATTTTTTCGCGTTACGTAATAAGTGAACAGCCCCTTTAATAAAAGATCATTCAATAAAAAAAATCATTAACTTAAATTCCAATTCGTTCGAACAATCACAAAACACATAAATGCCCAAAATACGCTTATTTGAAGAAATTTATGATCAAGATATCAAATTTTAGATTAAAAACTCATGATAATCATAATAATAAAATCATACTTGGATCGGACTGTGGTATAAATCAGTCATGTTCTGTATGAGCAAGTTTAGTTCGAGTTTAAAATTGAAGGTGTTGATAAATCTTAAAGTAAACCAAAAAATATTGAAAATGAAAAGCGTTTTCTATCTTTTTGGTTTTGCTTCCTTGATTTTTGTCGTGATTGCACAACCTTCTTGCAATTTTAATTTTGACACTAATTCAAAATACTTTTGTCCACTTACTGGAGGTAACATTGACGCTTCATATGATGGTGAAATAGGAGGTGCACATTTTGAAAGTAAATATGATTCCTTCATATAATTTAGAAGATCCTGATTTAGTAGTATTCTCCATCGTTATAGTTTTTCCAATTTTTACTTTTTTTTAAAATTTTAATTTCATCAATTATTCTAATCAACAGATAAAGCAGACAACGATGTGCTTTTTTTGTATGCAGACGAAGCAGTTAAAGAGTTTATTCTGAAAAAAATCTTTGATAGATTTAAAAACCTAGAAATCTTGGAATTCAGGAAGGGATCAATATCAGCAATATCAAAAGATTTCTTTTACAATTGTAACCGCCTACAAAAAGTTCTTATAAAGGAAAGTGTTTTTGTGGATGTACCTGTTGATATTTTTGGAAATTGTACAGCAATAACAGAAATCGATTTTGGAAACAATAATATCGACAACATAGAAAGCAGAGCTTTTGCCGGACTTGAAAATTTGGAAATTCTTAGATTGAACGAGAATGAATTGAAAGCTATTCGACCAAATGTTTTTAGCCCGCTTACAAAATTACAAACATTAGATTTGAGTAAAAACAACCTCAAAAACTTTGATGCAAATGTATTTTTAAGCAACACGGAACTTAGAGTACTAATTTTGGCAGAAAATAAACTAGATAGATTAGACTCGAAATATTTTAATTCTTTAAAACAATTAACATCAATTGACTTGACGAAAAATGTTGTAAACTCAACAGAAAAAACTTTGGTCGATAACCTAGTAGGAATTAACTCAGTAAAATTCAAAGAAAATTCGTGTATTGATTTGGATTTTGAGAATTTTAAACAATCAGATATTGATGACTTCAAAACTTGTATTGAAAATTTTAATGGAGCACCTATAATGATTTTATCAAGTGTTGCACTAGTTCTATTGGTAATTTCGAAACTTCTTTAAAAATTTGTGTATTAAAGATTTTTAATGAATTAAAATTCAATTCTGTTTTGAACTTTTTCATGATTTAAGTTACTATTTTCTACAAATATTGTTATTAAAGGAGATTTAAACTTAAAACATATTTATTTTACTCAATAAACTGTTATTAAATAATTTAAATAAGCTTGTTTTACTTTTTTAAACAATTTTTATATACCACGTCTTGACAAGGTGCGAACTTAAGATTTCATCTGATTAGTAGCATTTATTGTTTAATTAAATTAGAGATGCGCGGTTTTTGTCAAAAATATATTGAATACATAGTGTATCTTTAACTATCGCTGAGTATATTATTGCGAATTATTTTTGCTTCCACGGGCTTCCACCAACCAGTTCAAGCAGACAGTCTTCTCTTCAGAAGTCACTTTTATTTATAAAACTCTAAAGTTAGATGATTCCTAGTTTGAAGTCAACTTATTTTCTGTCACTCCTAGCAAAGCAAAGAACGTAGGTATCAAATCAGAACACAAGTCTCAAATTTGCAAGTTTTCAAACAGAATGAATCAGATATTTTTAACCCTTAATTTCCTGAGTCATTGATGATTAATTTATTCGCCAAAAACTCATCATTTTAAACTTTTATGGCAATGATATGAAACTATAGATTAAAACTTAACGATAATCAAAACAATAAAACAATAGATGAAAGGGAAATCCGATTAGTATCTCGTATATATCGGACAAGTGTTGTTTGAAGAGCTTTAGTCTAATTTTGAAATTGAAGGAATCAAGAAACAAAAAAAAAAATGAAGTCATTGAGTATTTTTATCACGATCGGATTGATTGCTATCGTGAAAGGACAAGATCCAGCTTGTCAATTTGAGACTGACAGCGAAGGACTGCTTGCTTGCAAGCTTACTGGTGGAGGAATTATGCCCGAGAACAGAAACAAAGAAATTGCAGGAAATCCTGGAGCCGATAAAACTTTCGCTGATGTCCAAAGAGTGTATTCATTAGAACCAGCTTCAACAGACATGATTTATTCAATCTTTAATAATTTTGTAAACCTCAAGAAACTTGAACTGACCAATGGAATAGTTGAAGAATTAAAGCAAGAAATGCTTTATAACTGCACAAAACTAGAGAAACTGGCCATTAATAAGGGCATAATTAAAACGATTGATTCAAATACTTTTATTAATTGTCCAGCATTGGCAGAAATAGATTTAGGAAAAAATACAATTTCTGGTATACTCAGTGGTGCTTTTAATGGACTTCCTAATTTGAAAACTCTCAATTTTAACAACAATGAATTAACAAATATTCAGGGCAGCATATTCAATGTCTCAACATTACAATCATTAGATTTGAGCAATAATGGATTGGCATTAACCAATAGAAGCATATTTACGTACACGAATGAACTTTTATCGTTAAACCTTGCAGAAAATGGAATCACATTATTAGTAAAGGAACAATTCAATGGTTTGAGTAAATTAACAGAACTAGATTTCACAAATAATGATCTAAATGCAACACAAGACACAGCTCTTGAATATCTTGAAGCACTTCAAGTGGCAAAATTTAAGAGCAATAACTGCATTGATAAAGATTACACAGACTACAGTCAATCATTATTTGCTGGTGATTTCGCAGTTTGCATTAAAAATTTTAATGGAGCTTCAATCATGATTTTGTCTAACTTGGTGCTGGTTGTGTCAGTTCTTATAAAATTATTTAATTAATAATATTAAATTTAACAATGAAGTTATAGGGGCTTAAAAAGTCAGAAGAGTTGCACAGTATTAAACAGTGATAATATTTTATTTTAATCTTATTATATTTCCTTTAATTAGACTCGTTCAATACTTAAAGTCATGAATATTTGATCAATTTTATAATTATACTTAAATCTTTAATAAATTATAAACTTTACTTTATGGACAACAATTTATTATTTTTTCATAAGAACTTAGGTTTAGTAAGGTTAATTACATAATCCTGCCTTTGACAATTAAAAAATTTAACTACGCCTCTTTATGCTTTAAGTTTAAAGTACCAACATCAATTTTAGTACCAATTTAAAGTTTATTGCTGCGACTTATTCCATTACCCATGATTTCACCATTTCCTTATCAGTTGATGTCTTTCATGATCGAAATCGATTTTCAGATTACATGATTAATTGTGCTTCGCATGCGTCTAACTTATTTGCTGCGTGTCATTATTTTGGCTATTTAGGATGACAAATTGAAGTTTTTATCGCTTTGCAAATACATTAAAATTAACTTAACTAGACATTTGAGTCGATAATAAGTTCATTATTATGCAAAGTTTTGGGAATTAAAGCTTTAGTCTTAATTTATAATTCCTCCAGTAATTACCAGAAGCAATGATTATTATCGTACTGATTTTTATAGCTATTACAAGTGGATCCATAAATGGAGAGAGAACTAGAAAAAATCCCAACGATGTCTGTGCTTATTTAACTATCAATAACACTTACAGCTGTGAACTTTTTAATGTGAACATTACATCTAAGAATCAAGCATTCACTATAAATGCAAAAGAACAACAGGACACTCCTCATCTTGTCAGAAGGGTCTATTTTGCTTATGGACAGATTATGAGATATGTTCATCCACAAATATTAAGGACATTTACATTTTTGAGAACTTTGATCCTTAAAAATGTTCTTTTATTCGAGATTGACGAAACAAGCTTCTTCAACTGCAGTGATTTAGAATATTTGGACTTGTCGAATAATATATTAGAGTATATAGGCAAGGGAGTATTTGTTCGATGTCCAAAATTAAAAATAATTGATTTGAGTTACAATCGATTGGATAGAATCGAGGAACAAGCTTTCATTAATCTGGCAAACTTAACTCAATTGAATTTCGAGGAAAACTTTTTAGTAATTTACAATCAACCTAGTTATTCGTGGAATCTGCCTAAATTGGAAATACTAAACTTATCAGACAACTACATCCTTACATTATCTGACAATTTAATCCATAGTTTCATTCTTAAGGACCTTAATCTATCGGACAATAGAATAATGACAATTCCACGTTATTTCTTTCAACATTCAAGAGCGTTAATTCGACTTAAACTTGATAGAAATCGATTGCAGTTCTCTTATGACTGTCCATTCTCATATCTTGTCAATGTAGAATATTTATATCTGCAGTACAATCTTATCACAAACATAAATTGTGGATTATTCAGCAATATGTCAAATTTGAAGGAACTGAGACTTGAGGGAAATTTTATATATGCAATGTGCCCTGAAACATTTACAACATTTAAGAAGTTAATCTTTTTGGATATTTCCTTTAACATTTTCTCTAATGTCGTCAGCAATCCAAAAATACCTTTACAGGATCTGAATGAGCTTCAAATTTTGGATATGTCGCACAATTCAATTCAATTTCTTGCACACGGATTTGGACTAAGTGAAAATAATAAAATCAAGGAATTGAAATTAAGCCACAATAAGATCTACAATATTTATCCTAACATGTTTGAGAAAATGATTAATTTAACAATTTTGGACTTAAGCTACAATCGACTTATCACATTGTCTGTTGAAACACTCAGAAATAACTACAACTTAAGAGTCTTAAAGTTGTCAAATAATAACTTTACAAGGCTTAATTATGAGTTTTTCTACAACACTTTGAATCTATACCTTATAGACTTTAGCTACAATGAAATCAATGAAATTGATGTTAATCTTGTGACTATATTCAGGAACATGATGTTGATGAACTTTACAGAAAATTACTGTGTAAATGTTAACTTAGTAAAAACTGGAAACACAGCTGTTGGAGAGTTAAACACAACTTTCAACGTCTGCTTTCAGAATTATGAAAATAGACATCCAAATGAGATTCAGATGCCGGCTATACCAACAGAAAGTCCGCATGTGTCTCAATCGAATTTAAATGAAGGTTCTTTTCAGCTGCAATTTTTTGTAGCTTTTGTGATAGTTTTAAGATTCTGTTAGGGAAAATTAAGTAATTCTGGAATTAAATTCTGTAAAATTTTGGAAATTTGTCAAAATTCGCAATCGACAAAATAATTAAGTTTTCCTAGAACTACGAAAAGCAGGAAAACATTTTGTTTGTCATTAAAATAAACCATTGCTGTGTCAACGTGATAATGTTATCAATTCAGTCGTTCCTTATCAACTTTTATTAATTTATGTCATTGTTTTAATTTATTTCATGCAATCATAAATGTCTGATCCACATTCGCTTTCGATTACAGTGCCTACATAGAATTGCTGGATGGTTTATTTAAAGTTGTATGCACAAAAATATCCTTACAGATAATTGTTATTAGATTAAAGTAAACTAATCATGGGGTTGCTAGCAAGGTTCAATAGGTTTCGGTTTTTGAAGCTTATACATTGAGGTCTCTTGGAAAATTGATGGAAAAACGGGAAAAACACAAATTTAGAAGTTAAGGTACGATTTAATTTTCGAATCATGGATTGTTTTACTTACATACTTCTTTGTAAGAAGTTGAAGTTCTTAATTTTACTGTTATTCATTCATCAGACTTACCATTTTTCCGATCTGCTGTTTGAATTTCCTCTTTATGTACATAAACGCCATCTTTCTATGAAACTATGCAATATTCTTAAGATGTGCAGCACTCCTAATTGTATATTCCTACCGTGTACTATTTAATATGATTAGGAGTTATTTTTTAACAATTTGAATTAAAGTTTTTCGGATTTGAAAGTAAATAAAGATGTTCCCGCACTTTTTGCTGCTCATATATTAGTCATTGTTGAGACATTTCAGTAAGTAGACATTGATTGACATTCAAATATTAACCATTTGATAAAAAAAAATCATATTAATCAATAAAATTGACAGTCAAAAAACCTAGAATTAACAATAAGAGTAATTTAAAAGGAAACCAAAAAGTACAGTAATACATTACCAAGACGAGCGTTAAAAGAGGTGCGACTATAGTTGTTTTTTGTTTATGAATTAAACAGTGCTTTTTAAAAATAAATTTAATTACATTAACGAAAAGTTTTAAGAGTTAAAATCTATGTGAAACTATTTTCAATTGATCATTTTATCAAACTGATGTGTAAACGACTGAATAGACTATCAATAAGACACAAAAAAAGCTAGGAAAATGTTGCAAACAGAATACAAACTTTTTCACGAAAGTTTTATGAAAAATAATAATGGAACAACAGCATTCGATAGCTTTTTACATATTCTGCCATCAAGTTTTGCAATATTTCATACAATAACATTAACAACAGCATTAAGATTGAATAACAACAATATTCCAGTTAGATTTCTAGTGGAATTTTTAGTAATTTGCGGTTCTCTAGTTCTATGCACAACAGTCTTTAGTGATGTTATCGGTCATATAGTTTTGACATTCGTTCTTATTACAATCACCTCAATTATCAAACAATTGCATGGAAAATGTCACTTAACTCCATTCGTTCAGGTAACAAAATAATCATCTTTCAAGATCCAGCAATGGTGCTAAAAGATCATTTTCTTAATATCATTGTTTATCATTTAGATTCCAGCGATTTTGCCCGATTTTATCACAGGTAAGTCTATTTATTAAAAAGTTAAGCAATTCAAATTAGCATTAAATTAATTCAATCCATATGTTCACTAGTCGGACGCTCGATAATCAGCTTAATCACTGCCGTGTGCATATTGGCTGTAGATTTCCAATGTTTTCCTAGAAAACTAGCAAAAACTGAAAAGTTTGGATTTGGTGAGTTGGAAGATTTTTCTTCTTTATGTACCTCTTTCTCTTCTGCTTTCATGTTTTCTTCGCTGTTTCTCATCTTATTTGCATTCATCTACTTCTTACTTTTTTTTTACACAACGTGATATTGACACAAAAAATAAATACATTATCTTTCATTTTGCTATTCTTTTAGGTCTTATGGATGTAGGCGTTGGATTGTTTGTATTTAGTAATGGAATTGTTGTTAAACCGTCAGCCGTTCCATTCTCAAAGAAGAAATTTCAGAAACTTGTTGTCTCATGCCTTCCACTCTTCATACTTGGCTTTTCGAGACTCGTTCTGACCAAGGAAATCAACTATCAAGAGCACGTAACTGAGTACGGAGCTCATTGGAATTTTTTCATTACTTTGGCTGTTACAAAAATGCTTGGTACGGTGCTTGAAGGTTTTATGAAGACAGCCGAGCATATAAAATATTCTGCATTAATGCTGATGATGTTTCACGAGACGTGCTTACAATTAGGATTATCAAATTTCATAATGGATGATAATGGCAGTAGAAGTAACTTAATTACAGCAAATCGTGAAGGAATATTCTCCGTGACTGGATATGTCTCACTATATTTATCATCAATCTTTATCGGAACAGTTTTAAAGTCAGATGGACAAGAGTTGCTGAAAGTACGAGAAGTATTTTACAAAACAATAAAATTGGGTGTGATATCAGCGTTTTGTTGGAAAATGATTTTCGTCTGTAATGGAATGTTTGGGGTGTCACGACGAACAGCCAATATGGGATATATATTTTGGGTATTAGCCATTGGAACCACAATGTTGACGCTATTCATGGGAATAGAGATGTTCATATATTACACAAATTTTAATCGACCACAATGGCAACAACAAGCAGAATCAAATACAAAATCGCAACTTGACGAACCTGATTTTCATGTTCCTTATGTTCCACTTATCCTTCAAGCAATCAATTATAATGGTCTTGCATTCTTTCTCATGGCCAATTTGTTTACGGGAATTGTCAACATATGTTTTCAAACAATGCTCCTGGGAACGTCAGCGAGTATCCTCATAATTACATATTATACGTTTCTATTAAATGTCATTATGGTCTTTTTATACGTTAACAAATTTAAGCTCAAAATATGGTAAATTCAATGCAAATGATTTAATCATTAAAATTATTAATTACAATTAATTTCGAAGAGAGATGAGCTCGCACACAAATCTACACAATTAAACAAAAATTAAGTCATTATAACGGAACATTTCATATACTCGAGGAAGCGATGAAGTAGAGGAAATTATGGACAAATAAAGAGTAAAACTTTTTTTTTATTATTATTAATTTTTAAATGTGAAAAACTGATTAATTATTTTTTAAAGCTCGTCGTGTTCAAGTCTCTTTATGTAATTTTTATAATCTTCATGATTCCTTACAGCCTTGACAGCTTTTGCAACCAATCGACCGAATTCATCAGGATCGAAATTGTAGTTTTTAAACTTTTCATGTGACTCATCTTCGTAACCAGCCTCGATTGATTCTACGAAGTTTTCATCTTCCCACGTCATGTAGTTGATTCCTCGTAATCTTGCAAGATCATGATAGCAATTTGGATCTCCGCAATTATGAAGTTCGAAGAGAGTTGCCCAGTTTGGAAGGAACAGCAAGTGTGTTAAGCCAGCTCCATGAATGCCAATAAAAACGTCAGTATTCTTTGTTATTTCCATTTGATCAAGAAACTTTATGTTTCTATCGTATACGACACGTTTAACTTCATAATTACTATTTGATGAGATTCGCTTGATTAAATCCTTTTCGTTTAATACATTCCGATATTTTGTGTTGCGTGATAGGAAAGTAATGCGAACTTTTCTATTTTTTGGCTCGTGCTGTTTTATTTGAAGGCGATGCATTAAGTGCTCTGAGAATGCATGGAAAAGTGCACTGTTTTCGCAGCCGTTGATCTAATTGTTTTAAGGAAAAGTGTTAATCTTAGTAAAGGACGTACTTAAAGACTTTACATACTTAAGAGTTTCTATTAGCTACGATTTAGTGATTAGATTAAAACAAAATGATTCGGTATTTAACGGATTTTTCAAATTTAAATCGTTAAACCCTACTAATGTTTTGAAATCTGGTTACTACACATTTGTACAGTTCTAAACATTGAACATTTAACTTGTTTTTATATTCAAACTCCAAATAGCAGTTAAACATAAATTAAAAACATTTTTAAGGTTTCTAAAATCAAAAATTTAAATGAATGATAAATTATCACTGCTTGAATCCAGAGATGTCGACCCAGTTTAGAGCTATTCTGTTTAATCTATATTAAGCAACATACATACTTACCAAAGGAGTATTATAATACAGTCCAAAGATCATCCTCGGTGGCAAAGAAAACACCAAATTCTTAAAGCACACGACCTTGCCTTTAAACTTATTCAAGTTCCATAATTCATTTTCGGTAAATGCTTTAAACGTGTCAGCAAATTGCGACCAATATGGATGTGTTTCCCAAATTAATATATTAACATCCGTAGTAAATCCACTTTCATGAGTAAAATTGACATGCTGCGAGACATAAAGATTGAAAAAATCACAGAAATGATGATACAAATTAATTGTTGAGTCTAGCTTCATAAGATAAGTAGGTTTTTCAACCACAACGTCACACAAATCATCTTCAATAGGACGCTTCTCGAGAGATTCATAGTTCCTTAATTCAGCTGCCCACGACTGAAGAGCACCTAAATGATCTAATTTCTCTTCAAATTTGTCTTTGTGAAATTTACAATAACCGCCAATTTCGCCGGCTTTAAGCACATTCACATCCCATCGAAACGGTTCTTCCCGTTTTACCAAATCTGTAAAATTAATCATGAGATTCCGCCCACGACAGAATCTAACATTTTCACTGCATTCTAATGATGAATCAGTAATTGTGTACGGCTCACAATAGACTTTAAGTTCCCTGAGTTGTTGCTTAACATAGCCTAAAACGATATGAAAATTAGAGTGTTTCCAAAAATGGAAGTGAGCATTCATACCAAAATCAGCTTGCGAATAGAAAACATCCAGTTGAGTTTCTTTGTCTTTTACATATCCTGAATGATTTCCTGGACATTTGTGAATAAATTGTGGCTTTTTACATCCATATTCATATCCCCAGCATAATTCACGGTCATATTCTTCACTGCTGAGGTAGTCTTTATAAAATCCATGTGATGTCTCATTCAACTTTTTGGTAAATCGCCGTAAATTATTAAAATACTGTGACAAATGATTTTTTGGTAGATCTATATCCACAATTCCGTCATTAAATTCATTAATTACTTCACTTAGTGCACTTTTTAGGAACAAAATTAATATAATTAACAATTTTAAACTCAATAAATTCATTTCTTAACATTAAACATTAAAAGTAAATAATACTGGACTCTGCAGATGGATGTACACTGTGAAAAAGTTTTGGATGATGAGAATCAACAGGTAGATGTGCGGGATGCATACGTTTTAGTGCTATACTAATGATTTTAATGTTGTTTTGTAATTTATCCGATTCTATTGAGTTGGTTCCATGCTTAAAGCTAAAGCTGCTAGAAATTCGGAACCAGAAACTTCAGCATTAATCGTTCAATTAGTTCATAGCTGGAAGATATTGATCCAGATTAAAAATAAAGCTGGAGATTAAAAATTAAATCCTAGGATTTAAATAAGTTTAGATTAGGACTAATCCTTAGATTTACATGCCCAAGGCTCCAGGATCAATCAAAATCCAGCATATGATTTGTTGTAAAAATTCTCTTCATTTATTTAATTCATGTGACAATTTAATGTATTAAATCATTCCCAATTATCGCATTCCTTAAAAGCTTTCTTTGAATTAACCTTACTTGCTATATCCTTATTATTTTTTGAAGTTTTCGCCTTCTTGCTAGTTCCTTCAATTGTCGTTGGACTACGAACTTCATCTTTAGAGTTTATTTGGCAATTATCTTCTGAAATTTGCAATTTTTTTTTTATGTCAACATCAAAGGCATCAGAATCAGCTTTAGTGACGTCCTGCTTGTAGCAAAATTCTTGAATATACTTTCCATTTGTATTACAGTCATTTTCGCATGTATAGATAGCAATGATTCCCCAATCTAAATCGTAATTTTTCAAGTCATTCAGCATTTGTGGCATTATCTGAAATTCGAATGATCTTTTTCCATTGCAATTTGAGCATTTTGGGACATTTGATTTGTTTAAAGTTCCCGTACTTGAAATCCAAAGAGGCTGTCCATGACGACTGTATCTGATGACTTGCGTTGGATTACTTTCAATGGCTTTTTTAAACTTTCCAAATGCTTTATCTTCTTTTGTGTCATCCATGTCCTTCATATCAGCCTCACTAATGTCACCATTGTGTACAATCTTTCCTTCTTTAATCATATCCTCATATTCACGGAATCGTCTAGTCTCAGACTCTTTATCTGATTCTCTTTTAGCTTTTGTGTCTGTGTCATTATCTTCACCTTCAATAACGATTTCGTACTCAGGAAAATGGCAAGACTCGATTTGATTAGTTTTGGATATGCTTTCTTGTCCACAACTTCTTTTGTGCGATTTCCAGTCAATTTTTTGATGATGTTGTCCACAATAGTTGACAGATTTGCACTTTCCACAAACCATTGGACCTTTACAGCCACAAACATTGCAAACTTTACAGAATGGCTCAATTCCTTCGATCTCTACTGACTCATCAGCTGGCGTATCCGGATAAAATTTATTAATTAATGGCAACTGACTTCTTAAGACTTTAACGTTTCTGGGAATTTAAAAAGATTAGAATAAGCATTCACAGTTATTTTATTTGAAGATGTTTACCCAGATTGATTGATGTTACAGCACTTTCCGTTCCGGCAAATAAATACAAAAATTGTTCTGTGAAATGCATGAGATATTTTGCCAGTTCCAGCAGCATAAATTTGACAAAGAAATGTACACGGCTCATTGCAGTAATCACAACTTAGATCCTTTGCATCTGGGATGTTTTCTAGCTCTAAAAGTATTTAAAAAATTATAATAATAATAATGATAAAAACAAAGATCTTTTAAATTACCCAGCCAAGCTGCTTTGCCTCCGATCTTCGATGGGAAGAAACGATTTGTCAATAACCATGAATCCTGTTCTTCAGAAAAGCCTAGATCTATGCTTTTTAATTCTTTTGATTCCATGACTTTAATTTTGAGCACGTTTTAAAATTTTTTTGTTGTTTTTTTTGGGAACCTTACAAATGTTTTTAAAACTTCAAAATTAGAATATCTTTAAAGATTGTGGACATTGCAATGAAATTAGGCTTATTTCTTACTTAATTAAATTAATTCATCCAGTTTTGTTTGTTTTCTTAAGATAAATATTATTTGATTTATTTAAAATTTAAAGCACAAACATTTGAATGGTTTTGGGTAGGAATGAATACATTTTTCTGGTGTTGTTGATGATTTTCAAACTTGAGATCTAAGCATTAATTGTGGACAGAGATAGAGTCTGAGATTTTGTAGGTTTAATACCTTTCAAATCAATCAAAATCCCATCATAGCACAATTCAACTGATCAGTTCGGTAGATTTTAACTTTTGTAAAACCACGTTCTCGTAGTTTTTGAAAAATCAGCACAAGAAGCTGAGCATTGGGTTCAGGTTGACGGCTATAAACCCAAAATTCGAAATCATTTTTACAGTAATAAAGGATTGCATAGCTATCATAGTCCGTGATGATGATCTCGTAAAGGTTTGTGACTGAAAAATGGAATAAACTTATTAAAAATCGATGATTTATACTTGATACCATACTCATAAATGCTGGATAATGAAAAGCAACTACACCTTCTTCGATCTCAGCTGCTATTCCCATACTCTTAACTTCTATTCCTTGAGCATTTATAAACCTTCTGTAGATTGACAGTCGTCCACGTGCAGCAGCAGATAGCTTTATACGATCACATCTTTCTACTAAAGTTGAATTAGCCATAGATGTATAAACCTCATACCAAATTCCGTTGAATCTTTCCATTGAAAATTCATCCATGTTGGGCACTGCTGGACATGTTTTTGAATTCTTCGGTCGCTGTCGAATCACTGCTTCTGATGCTGTTAATATAAGCACTGCTAATGATCTTTAAATTGCCATCATTAGTAAGTATCTAATTGTTTGTGAATGAATCTAACTTACAGCCTAAAGATAATACTGTCCATGTCTGATCCAGACTTTAGAAAAACTAAACTAAATCACTTAACAAATCATTTATCTCTACTAATAGCCGTACTCTAAATTAGTACCTACATTGTTTACTTCAAAACCATTAATTTATTATTTCACTATTTACACAAATTTCTACACCTTAAAATTACAGCTTACATGCCACTCATTTCCCACTATTCACAAATGGAAACTGATCATTGCAGTTTTGGTCAATCAGTTTCAAAAAGTTTGGCGGTTAAGTGTTGTTAATCATTGTGGAGAAGACATTTTGCCAATATTGTGACTCTAATGTCTTGTTTCGACTCATAACCCATACATTTTGTCCTACTATATAACCTGGATAGTTGTTGCATGTGAATAGAACTGCATAGTTCTCGTAGTCTGTGCCTGGAAGTGATTAGAGTAAGTTTGGATAAGAAAAAAAGAAATGGAATCACAAACTTACCCAAAACATTGTAGACTCCATTGTCCCTAGCTAAAGAGCTAATTACTAAAAATCAAAGTATCACAATTCAAAACAAACTCACGCAATACAGGAAAGTTGATCCCCAAAGTCCCTCGTCCAACAGCTGACGCAGATCCCATAACTCTCTTTTCATTACCAAATGAAATATATTTTTTGAATACACTAATTTGTGCATTATTGGCACCAGCGGCTGGCCATGTAAATATCACAACTGGACATCTCATGCTGAGTAATGTGCTGTCTGGATAAATAGCGAGGATGTACCATGTGCCAAGAAAGTCAGAAACATCTAATCTTGGAATGCTTTGAACTTTTTGACAATCAACTGGACCTCCTCGTTGTGCATTGATGATTTGGTGATTGATGTAAATTGTAAGAATTAATGAAAAGAACCTGAAGATTTTGGGATTTAGTTTATAAATGTAGTTTAAGTATGATCTGTTAAAATTTACTTTGCGAGCATGGTTGATATTGTTGGATACTCCTTATTAAAAATCAAATAACAACTGATGTGAAAATAAAGCTAGGAATGACCCAAAATGTATTTTCAACAACTTTTTATTAAAAGAATCAACCTTAATGCAGTCATTATATTGTTTTTCTGTTTAGTATGCCCACTTTTTACTCATTAGTGGGTGCAGAAGTGTGACTGTTTGTATAGCTTTTTATAAGCACGTGCGTATGTAATTATATTGAGGTTCTATGGCATTGTGGATTTAATAATTAAATTAAGTTAAAACCGATAAAAAAAAAATCAGTTGCCATTAAAACATCATTTAAGCATGTTATTAATTTTGGTGAAATTAATTTGCAAATTTACACATCTTTTTAACGGATAAAATTTACTAAAATTATTTTCACGAAATCAATCTTCCAAGTATTTTGTATTTGGAAACCCCGTTTAGCACAGTTTTAACATGATTTTAACATAAATAAAAATTTATAAGTCGCTTTGGCTGTTAAATCTTAAGTTTCTTACTCTTATTATTTATGCTTTTTTAAGTCAGAAAACTTCAAACGACTTTTTCACCCCCCCCTCCCCTTCCCCTCTTGTTACAATATGTTACAACTCACACCCCTCCCCTGAACGTTCATAATTTATTTTATTTTGATAAAAAGGTGGAAAATTTAAAAAAATGTTTTTGGTTCGTTACATACTTCTTGACAACCCCCCCCCCCCCCCCTATGTTACATTTTGTTACAATTTTTCTACCCCCCCCCCCCCCCCCCAAAATGCGAACGTAATAAGTGAACGGCCTCATACCATATTTAAGTATCATAACAAAAGAAATGCGCTCAAGTCAACAGCAATAAATAGCTATTCATACTTGTTTAGCACTTAGCACACAAAATTGACGATTTAGCTTAAAATCGAATTCCGTAAATTCTTATTTGTAATTCCTTCAATTTTTGTGTTATTTATGGATTAACCAAAGTTAAAAGTGTGTTAAAAGTGATCATTATTTACTGCAGAAGAAAAGAAACATAAAAGATAACAAAGCGAAGACGATAATAAGGAAGAAAAATGTTTTTTACGAAAATATCTAGTCTAATTCTTATATGTGGCTTAATTCACTACTCTCAGCCGTTTTATTTGCCTGGATTAGCTCCTCAAAATTACTGCAAAAAGTCTGAAAGTTCAAAATCATGCAAGGTAAGCCGGCATTAAAACATCCCATAACTTTTTTTGGACGCAATTTTTCTTTTTGATTTCGTGTCCAAAAAGTTTTCTCACTGCAAATTCACAGTCTAAAATTATCGATAAGACTTTAGTGACTAGACCAAACATGTATAACATGCCTTATCGCTCGCATTGTACAGTTTCCGCTATAAATAATATGCTGATTGAAATTATGGACGATATTAATACATACTGAATACGTGTCCTATAAAATTGTATATATACATGCTATATACATACATAGTCTTTTACTCTTTGTATCACTCATTATTATACCTTGACTCATCGTCATTATTATTATTTTTTTTTTCTCCTTCTGTGCTATCTATTCTAATACATTTTTTATTGTCTCATTTACTGGATGTTAGTCGGAAGTGACATTGTATGTGAACCGCTTAAATACCGAGGAGTCTGTAATTCCTTATGAATATCATCATTTTGATTTTTGCACGACTGATGAATCAAACTCACCGGTCGAGAATTTAGGACAAGGTAAGAGAGCTATAATGTGACATTCTAGAACAATAAATAAAATAATTAATTTAAATGCCTTTATAGTAATTTTTGGAGAACGAATTCGTCCATCTCCATATAAAATTAACTTTATGGAAAATACAACATGTCAGGTGTTGTGTAAGAAGCAGTATGTAGGTGGACAAGCTGACAGTGAGCGACGTCTCATGATAATGAAGAAAGGAATGAGCTTAAACTACCAACATCATTGGATTATTGATAATATGCCAGTTACGTGGTGTTATCCACTTCAAAATGATCGTCAATATTGTTCAACTGGCTTCAGTATGGGATGTTTAGTGAGAAACTCAAAGAATCCCGATGTTGAGGAGAGCTGTGCATTAAATCCAGCTTATAATCGTCCTGGAACTTACTATCCATTCAATCATGTTGATTTACTTATAACTTATCATAGCGGTGCCACAGAAGATTGGGGAAATACATTCAAACAGAACGGTGGACGTATTATTTCTGTAAAAGTCACGCCCTCATCAATTCGTCATGATGTAAATGCTCCTGATTGCAATAGTCAACAACCTCTTGAAATTCCAGCTGCACCTTTAGAACAAGGAAAGACAGTTGACGTACTTTATACATATTCAGTCAAATTCGTGCAAAATAATACGATTAAATGGAGCAGTCGATGGGATTATATCCTTGAATCTATGCCCCATACAAATATTCAATGGTTTAGTATCTTAAACTCTCTCGTCATCGTTCTATTTCTTTCGGGAATGGTTGCAATGATTATGCTGAGAACTCTCCATAAAGATATTGCAAGATATAATCAAATGGATTCAGGAGAGGATGCCCAAGAAGAATTCGGTAAGTGACTATGATTGATGAAGATTTTAAAGGCTGTCTTATGCCATAGTCATCAATTTCAATTTAGATCCTATATTATTTTTGGACAGATAAATCGAAAAGTCATTATTACGATATTTCCACTTGTTCTGTTATCTACAGCAACATGTATTTGTAAAGTTTTAATGACTTTCTCATACCTACCGATAAAATTCACTTTTTCTTATCGCTACAAACATGTCTTTATGACCCTTTAATTTTGGATTTACTAGTCACGTTTTCTGTTTGTCCTTAAAACTAGTTGTTAACTGGTTGCTATGCATTTGCAAAGTTCCTTTAAAAGTTTAACGACTTTTTGATATTTGAATTGAGTGTTTTGGTATTAATCACAATTTAATTTATTTTATTCAGGCTGGAAACTCGTTCATGGAGACGTTTTCCGTAGTCCAAGAAAGGGAATGCTTCTCGCTGTATTGCTCGGTTCCGGTGTTCAAGTTTTCTGTATGTCCCTCATCACACTTGCCTTCGCATGCTTGGGATTCTTGTCGCCAGCAAATCGTGGAGCTTTAATGACATGCGCTATGGTTTTATTTGTTCTTCTCGGAACTCCAGCCGGCTATGTGTCAGCTAGAATTTACAAGAGCTTTGGGGGAATCAAATGGAAGAGTAATGTCCTCTTAACAGCAATGTTTAGCCCTGGAATGGTCTTTGGCTTGTTCTTCGTCATGAATCTTGTATTATGGCATGAAGATTCATCAGGTGCAGTTCCATTCTCAACACTCGTAGCTATTTTAGCATTATGGTTCGGTGTTTCTGTTCCATTGACATTTGTTGGTGCATATTTCGGTTTCCGTAAGCGAAGCTTAGAACATCCAGTGAGAACAAATCAAATACCAAGGCAGATTCCCGATCAATCGATTTATACACAGCCAATTCCTGGAATTATCATGGGTGGTGTTTTACCATTCGGGTGCATCTTTATCCAGCTATTTTTCATCTTAAATTCATTGTGGAGTAATCAGGTATGTTTTAATCCTCAAGTTTTAATTTTAATCTAATTAAAATTCTAATTTTATTAGATGTACTACATGTTTGGATTCCTCTTCCTCGTGTTCCTCATATTGGTCATCACATGCTCAGAGACCACGATTCTCTTATGTTACTTCCACCTGTGTGCTGAAGACTATCATTGGTGGTGGCGAAGTTTCCTTACAAGTGGATTTACAGCCGTCTATTTATTCATTTATTGCTGTCACTATTTCGCCACAAAACTTCAAATTAATGACGCAGCAAGTACATTCTTGTACTTTGGCTATACGCTCATTATGGTGTTCCTTTTCTTCCTCCTGACTGGATCTATTGGATTCTTTGCATGTTTCTGGTTCATTAGAAAAATATACAGTGTCGTCAAAGTCGATTAAGTTTAGATATATATTCTTACTATCCAAATTGTCCTATATATTATTATAATTATTTTTATTTAATAACAATAGCAACTTTTTTGACATCAACTTACAGAATAAAATCTTTATTTGTCTTTGATAGCACACAAAGCTCCTTTTAAGTAATAGTCATTGCTGTAGTCTTGACATTTTTAGTTTTTTTGGCTGAAATTCAGGCTCAAAATGAGTATAATATACAAAATTAAAGCCTATAATTAACCAAAAGCATCCGAAAAATTGACTGTGAGGAAGAAATTTGGAAGGTTTTGCGGGAAATGAGAAAGAAGCAACAAAAATAATTTAAAAACGATGTGTAATTAATTAAATATTAATTTAAATCATAAGCATAATATGTTATTATTTAGGATTTTTCTATGTAACAGAAAGAAAGTAAAAGAATCAAGTGATCAGTTTAATTAAGATTTCTTGGACGTGGTTCGATGTTGTATGGTTGAGGTCTATTGATTTGACTGAAAATTGGCCAGTAAATCTTATAATTTCTAGTTGAATCTTGTGTGATGTGTGCTTGATGGTCCACACTAGTGATTGACATAGGCGCAAAGCCCGGAAAGGATTTATCTCATCCTTGACCCAAAAATTAGTGAACAGCTCTTCAAATCTCCCTCAATAACATTCAATATAACCAAAACTATGCAACATCACGTTATCCAGAAGCTAAGGTTGATTTATAGTAAAAGTAATAAGATGAAACTGGAAAGGACTTGAAATTTGCGCATAAAATATAGTTTTATAACATAACAGATAACTATTAATAGCACTTTTTGGATTAAACAGACTTCTTCTTCTTAATTTAAAAATTGCAAAATGTAAATATTTTTTTTTAAACTAAACATTTCGACACCTTCTATTTTGGACTGTCCTATAAATTGTGATGTAAAAGCTAAAGAATCAAAAAAGGCTTTACAATTTAAATTTTATTTATATGAGTCAGCGACGGTTTGGACTTGGATGGTATGATTTGTTTTTCATTAGTAAACAATCTGTCAAATGCGATATTGGGATATAATGAACGCTTTTTAGTAACTTGAGCATTTGCACATGTGTTGATTGAATCGAGTAAACAGCACGCAGTGTTGTTGCTTTAGAAATCTGGGAAGGAATGTGCAAATATAGGAAATTATAAATCTTGATGCTTATCATAAACACAATAAATAAGCTGAGGCTGAAGTCATTCAGCCTCTCGAACTTAAACAATGAACTTATAAGCCATAATTTTTTTTTAAATCAAATACCATGTGATTGTTATACAAGAATCAATATAAAAGAATGCTTCCCACAAGTCTATATTTTGTCAAGCAGTTCGAATGCATATTTTTTTTTATCCAAAACAGGTTTAATCAGGAGTTCGTAAGAATATATGCATGATAAATGTCAAGAGGCATTGAGTATTAAAATTTCTTATTAACGACTGTAAAAGGAACCAAAACCTTAACATTTCCAATCCTTAATTCGCTTCTGTATACAATTAACCCTGATTTACAGAGATTTAGCTCTTTATTGATTAGGTTCAAGGTCTAATTAATCGGTTTGAAATGTAAATTGACACTCGATTGATCTTACGCTATTATTGAGTATGAGTTGAATAGCAATGCACTGGTCCGAAAACGAACTACTAATGTGGATATCCACGATTTAAGTAGATTCCCTTTGAATAAAAAATTTCTGGAACAAAAACAATTGCTCAAATCGAGGACCCCAAGTAATTGAAAACTTATCAAAAAAAGCAAGTAGCTGATCGATTGACTGAATCTCTTATTGACCTTAATCGATTAGCTGGTTTGAACTGAGAATCAAACCCTAAATTGATCTCTTATTCGATTCTGTTTCAACTTCGATTTACAAATCGAACTTATACTCTTTAATCCAACAAACAAGCATAAATCGCAGACATAAATAAACAAATCACCTAAATTAGGCACAAACAGAACTGACTCAAAACGTATTATTTGGCAAATTTTAGTGATTGTTTGTATCAAGAAAAATCCTTTTCTGTAATAAAATATCAACAAAATAATTTTGGTTTAGTTCTTAATTAAGCTGTATAACTCTATCCCAGAGCTGCGAAACAGGCACCTGTGACAGGTGAGAACCCTACAATTCCTTGATAATTTATAAGGTTTTTCTAACAAAACCATACAAATTATCAAGGAATTGAAAGGTTCTCACCTGTCACAGGTGACCTGTTTCGCAACTCTGCTCTATCCTCTATATTTGATGAAATAAATTGATTAAAAAAACTTTTAAAGATATAAAAAATAAAACTCGAAGTCTTCTTTTCTTTCTTGGCAGTCAATCTCCTATTTTTTATTTCATATCATTCATGAATTTTACATATGTAGTATAGCTTATCGTTCATTCACATTATTGAGTTTTTTTAAACAATCCACGTGCCATTTTATTTCCTCTTCCACGAAATTTTTTATTCTATTTTTTTTACTCTTTTCTTATTTTATTATTTTGACGTCTTTCACGCACATTTTTTTTTTTTTCATTTTTACGGCACTAAATGAACATTCGTCACACTTTTGTGTTTAGCGTGACGAATTTTAGGACGAAAATGAAGTGAAGAAGAATTTTTATTCCATTTTTAAACATTCAGTAATATTGTTTTTAAATTATCACATTCTTTTTGATTTTTTCAGTCTCGTCATTCATTCACACAAGTAAAATGGTTATGTCTGTATTTCACACACATTTTTCAACATTCGCACGTGGAAAATTGTTTTGACGGAGAAAATGCAATTAATGGATTATAATACCTTGACAGGTTGTGTTGTTAAGGTTGCTAATGCGCGTATTTACATTGTAAACATTTGCTTGTTGTTGACGACATTTTAATGTTTTTTGAAGAAAGCTATATAGCTAGGTGCCCTCTGCAATACAGCAAAAAACCGATTCATTAAATGATCCAGTTAACGAAGGTCATGTATCACGATTTATTTAAAATAATGCAATTGAAATGCTTATGGTCTATATACGAGTTGAATGGTTGTTACAACTGTGCACTTGGTTATTATCTATATTTTTTTCTACCATGGAAGTCTTTCATAGAGAGATATGTTATAACAGATTGATAGAGCATGACATCTTCAAACTCTGTTTCCGGTACTAAAGACCGTAGATTCGATATCTTGAAAGTTCGATATTCAAGAGAAGTAATATCAATATTACATGAATTTTGTAAAGGAACTCGAATTTTTTGTTCATTTGATTTACGTTTAAAACAAGTTTTATTATCTTCTTGATTTAAATTCCATAAACATTTCTAGAATCAATAAATCAAAGTTAAATCTTGGTACTGTTTTATACAACTTTTATACGAAACCGAATTTTAGAGTTCACTCTATACTAGCATGTGGTTTATGAGTTTGTTTTCTTCAACGACAAATTTTCAAGGAGCAGAATGTTATTAAGTATGAAGGAAGTTTATATTCTTTAGTCATTTTGAATTACAAACGTTCGTTTTTACTCTTATTGATTGAATTAACGTCAATTGTTTCTTCCTGTCTTACATTTCCTCCATTTTCTTTCAATTTTCCTCATTTAAAAAAGTCATTTTTTGTTTGATCATCACATTGTATAAATCTTACATTCTAGATGCATACAAAAGTAACAGGAAATAGTACACAGGTATAAGGAAACACAAACTTTCTCAACAAACTCATTTTAGGCTTGTGATTAACTAACGATTGTCACATTCGTACATGAACAATAGAACAAAAATCAATCTTTTTTTTATTTTTGGAAATTAGAGGAACAGAACTCACAACAATTGATAATTATGATAAATTTATCACACATTCACTGATTCATGAAATGTTCTTGTGATTGTTTGCAGGCACACACAGTTGATTTTTTTTCTTTATTGATTATTCCTAGTTCAGGCATAAAAATTCATCTTATACTTAATTTTATTCTCATGTATACCCAAAAAAGCTCATTTATTATCATTCATCATTTACATCTTAAGTATTTAGGAAATGAACGATTTATACTTCTTACAAGTTACTACTGGGATTCGAAGGAAGAAATTTTATTTTTAAAATGACTCGATTTTTTTATGATATTAAAGTTGGGAGGGTTTTTAAATAGGATATGCTGGATTTAACCTTCATATTTTAGCAAAGCTTCCTTAAAATTGTGATTTGGTGTTTTTTTGTAAAGTCTTTTCCCTTTAGAATTAGGAAAACTGCGTACTATTAATAAAACAAATTAATCTCGTTCTAAAAAGATTCAAGAATTAAAAACATAATTTTGAAAATGAAGCATTGTGAATCGTTTATTTGACATGCTAATTGAAGCTACTTATCCTTTCAAAAGAAATAAAGGTTTAAACTAAGGAAAATGACGTGGATTAGAGAAAGTTTTGGTAGATTCTAAAACATTGCCCAAGATGATTCAAAGGATTTAACACCAAAGCTTCATTTGACAGTGCTTTGCATGTGATGCAATATCTTTATAAAGGATCTAGGAATTCTCGATGTCAGTGTGATCGAGTAGATCAGGTTGGGTAGCAGTATTTAAGGGATCACTACTAGAAACATTTATAGAAAATCAAATAAAGCAAGGAGCTAGTAAACAAACAATTCTGTGGAACAAAATATTGCATCATTAAAACTTCCTCTCCACGACTAATAAAGGCAAGAAAATAATGCATTGGAGCAACAAAAAATATAATAGAAAAGCAAAGTTAAAGTGAATAAGAAAACAAATTAATTATCACATTTGTTTCACAATTTGTTATTACATTAATTAACACATAAATTTTTTGTCCCTTAAGATGCAACACTAACATCCTTCTCATTTGATTTGTGTTTTATTATTTCATTTATTGCTCAATTTGTGACTTTAAATCAATCCTTTGCTCGATTTCGCGTTGATATGATTTTTTTTTTCTTCGCAAAAGAAAAAGAAATGAGAACATCCAAAGCGGAAGTGACCTACTTAAAAATTGTTTTATGTTCAAATTTTTTACTCCTTCATTCCACCCAATCACAGTGATTTATTCCAATTTTTTGTCATTATAAACAACAGAGAAATGACTTTTAAGCGCAGCATTCAATTTGATTAGATTTCACATTTATTTTTGGACTCAATCGTTCATATCGCACTTGTATTAATTATATTTAAATTCATCATAAGACTCAATCGTTGGTTTGAATTCAGAAAATGTTTTTCAACTTTGAAAATTCAATTGTTTTTTGAATTTTATTATAAAAAATTGTTTAATACCCTCGCGACTACCCTTTGGGGTCATCCCAAATGACGTCATAGGACGACCCTCATTAATTAAATTATGACTAATGTTTTGAGCAACAATTTTTATGAATTCGCCCCATCGAAAAATGCTTGCGCACAACTTTTTCAATCCCATTTATATTATTTTTTTGTTAATTCACCTACTTAATAATTTACTAGTTCACTTATTTATTTTTTTCATATTTTCGCCTATTTAGTATTTGTTTAATGCCTTACATTAATTTGCAGTCTCTCAGTCAATCAGAAATAAATGAATTGGAACACACAGCTTCAGACATTTTTCGTTTTGGCATCAAACACGTTTGATTCACATTTATAAATTCTAAAAGTTATGACGAAGATTATTATGCGATGCAATTCTTTTGTGTCTCTCGAGTCTTTTTTTTCGGGGGAGAATCAAAACTGGGCAATGTAGACATTTTTTTCATTTAAAAAAAAACTAGAAAAAGAAGGAAAATTTTATCTAATTTACACCTAGTATCGCATTTAATTCATCCAGTTGTGATTCTCCTGGTCTTTCATGTTATCAGTGCATCGCGGTTTTGTTTAGGAACTGAAAGCAAACCTTTTTTTAGTTGCTTGATTGAATTTGGTGGGAAACTGATTTGAGTTTGGTTTAAAACCGTACAAATTCTGTGAGATTCTGATTTAAACAGCACGAATATTTGTGAGTCTCCCAAAACATTACAAATTTGACATGGAAACCATACAAATGCTTCTAAATCAATTTCACACCCCTCAATTGTTTTAAATTTCAAAAATACGCTACAAGTTTGCTTTCAGTTATTTGTTTCAATAGTTTCATATAATCCTAGTTCAATATTACGAAGACGATCGTTGCAATTGGAAAAAAATTTGTGTCTTTCAACGATTATCTTTGTTTAACATAATAATAGCGAATAAGATGAATAAAGTAATACAAAATAATTCAATAATGTTCGCATTCATTTTGCAAGAATGAAAAATTTGTTTTTCATCTATTTGGAATTTTCCTGAGCTAAATTGTCGGTTTTCATTTCTAGAAAAATATTTTGAGCATTTTTCGTTCTTGCACAAGTGTTGGTTTGTATGTTTTTCTTTTCATATCAATAAATGTCTTAAAAACTAAATTAATTAATTACCTAAAATGCCTTACATGACTAATCTTAGGATTCTGGAACTGCAATTATGGAGGTTCCGTTAATAGCAAATTTTAATCACAATTTATTAGATTTTTGTTTTTCCTAAAAGAAAGATCAGTCCAAAATCCTATTACACGTAATGAGACTTAAATGACTACGAGTTCAATGGAGGCAATTTATCATTATGTTATCACCATCTGATTATCAATTTTTTAAACTTTTATCTTATTCTGTCAATTTTACAATTTTCCTTATTTTTTTTTTGTTTTCATTGGCTTTATCAAATGATGATATCACATGTTATTACTACGTAAACATATGTATGTGTGGTTTTAATTTAATTAATATTTATAAACTATTTTCATTTATCGCAATATGCAATATACACTTCTAAAGGAAATTCATTCAATCGCTCATCAACAAATTTTATGAATTTTCTTATTTTTCTCACTTTGGATGAGGAAGAAAAACATTGAAGGGTGGGGGAAAAGTTTCTGTTTCTGGTATGTTCCACGTGGATTTTAAAATTAATTGGTTTAATGAATTTCAGCAGACTTAAGACCTAATATGATCCAAATTATTTATTGGCAGATAAACTTGAAGAGAAGAATTAAGTCAATTTCGATCAAGTATCAACCAAAGACACAACAATTTTTAACAACCTGAACTGACCAAAGGTTTCAAAAGATAGAATCGGTTCAAGACACACCCAAGATGCAGACTTGAGCTCATTTTTTTTATCCTAGCTATATAAGCAAGAAAGCAAGAAGCTTGGATACTTATCTAGACTGTTATTACTACTTCTAAACCTTCGTGAATGCATTAAGCTACTCAAACCCTTTTAAAAATGAGTTTCATATGTCAATAAACTGAACAAAAAAGGTCAAACATTCAGTTCGTTTCAATATAAGGAGGCATTGCGAATTGAAGCTATCCAGAAACTCAAGAAACTTTCCATTCCCTCTCTTTTTATTTGAAGTCATCATAACTCACAACAAAACTCCACGTCATCATCATCATCAATAATAAAATAATTCATTTAATTGTCTAAGGAAAATTAAATATTCACAAAATGGCATTCATATTCATCAAAAATGGACACGTTGATGCACACTATAAATGGAGAACAACAAACAACATAATGCAGCAATATCACACACATCACAGATCGGTCGTACACACAGTTAATTAATTAAAATAAGGGTTTCAGTCATCAAATTCATCATTAGATTCATTCATAAGATTTTTTCTTTTATTAATTACATTTCTCTTCTCAAAAAAATAATAAAAGGATGAAGATGTCCTCAATTGCCAGTCACAAAACAGGATTCTTTCATATATTCGGAAATAAAAAGTTTTGGTTCGCATACATGTCTTCTTAAATCTCATTCAACATTTTTTTTTTTGTGATTTTTTTGCATATTTTTTTAATGTATGATTTTAAGCGCATTTTTGAAATTTGTTTTCGAAAAGGGAGCTTAATAGTTCTTTTCGTTCGTTCGCTCGTTCGGCTGGGAATTGAGATCTCCTCAACCAGACATCGTAGAGAGCTCGGATTAATTTCATTATTTAAGTTTTATGGAGTTGTTGTACGATCGAAAAGTTGGAAAGTTTAAAACATTGGATTTTTACTATAAATTAATGATTTGATTTCAAAACAGTGCAATCTGTCGAAATTTTTCTTTATACGGTGTAACTTGTTTACTTTTGTTGTTTTTAATTTCAATTTTAAAAACCGTTAAAAATTTGAATATTAATAGTTGGACAAAAAACTTTTTAACTGTACCTAATGTTTAATTATTGTAAAATAAAGCATGGAATCTGTGCTAATTGCAAATTTTTGGAACTATTTGCTTATTGGCTCTTATTTTGTTGCTAAAAAGTACTGATCGATGCGTCAAAAATGCGCTGAAGTCCCTCGATCAATAACACGAGGAATTTTGAAATTTATTTTTGTATTCTTAATCTAATTAGGTAATTCTTTTAAATTATCATAGACACATCCATTTCATAATTTGAAGAAAATAGAAACTTTAGTGCATAATTCCACTTTAATTAAATTTTTTGCATTCTCTGAATAGACAGAAAAGTTATTGTGAAAATAAAAATATATAAGATAAGATTAATTAATTATTGTAATGGATGAAGATCCAATAAAGAAAATATAAGTATTTTTTCCTTACGACATGTGAGAATTGCAATCGGATCGATTCTTACTTACTGTCCATATCGTTACATGCTCTTCATTTCTTGAGATTATATTGTTCTAGACGGCGTTGGGAAAGTTGTTTGCAAATTGAATGTTGTTGTTGTTATTTGTTGGTGCTGCTGGTGCTACGTTGCTGTTGAAATGAGAAAATAAAAGAATTTATTAGTAATTAGACATTTCAAAAATATTTAAATTCTTAGCGGTTTTTTGAAATTTAAACATTACATGAAATTCAAAATTTTGAAAACCGTTTAAGATTCGAATTCGAAAAAGCCGTTTCGAGCGATTGCAGAAATTAACTGAAATGAATCAAGACAGAACCGAGTCTAACGGCTTTTAAGAATCAAATAAAAGAACCAAAATGAAGTAAGACTGACCACGATTAATAAGAAATCATGTATTTATCAGTATTTATATTATAATCATAAAAGAAAGTAAATTCAACTGAAATGAACAGAAATCAATTTTAAACGATATAAAAGTTTCTTCTTACTTTACGGCTGGTGTCATTTGAGCCGACTGTTTAAGCTGTTTAATCTCCCTTAAAGCCCAATTACAAGTTGATTTTGTGCGAGTTGTGGTCGATTTCTTGCCTTCCATCAACATCGGCATAATAATATTGTCTTCAAGAATGTATGGTAATAAAGGTGTTCCAAACGCTAAACATAAATCTCCAATCAGACCAGCACAACTTGTCATTGTTGTCTCGGCCAAATCAGTGTCGCATGCTGCTTTCACAATATACTTAATAATCATTGGAACGTGGTTTTGAAGAAGGAGAATATCTTGATTTGGTTTTGAATCAGTTCCTTTTAATCCTTGAACAATTCCCGTGAATGCTTCCAATACACTTTCGCGCAATGAGCTCAAATAGTCACGCATTTCAAAATCTTTTGTGTCACATTGAATTTCCATGACTTGTGAGAGAACTTGAAGGACGGGACTTAAATATTTCTTAAATTCACATCCAACACTAAGTGCAATGTCACCGAAAACACTCAAAACTTGTGGCTTAACGTCACGATGAATGTCTGGATTACTAAGATTTTCCATAAGCATATTCATGATTTCATCACAATATGGCAAAATGGCAATTTTCAAAGCACGTGCAATGTCGCCAACTAATCCAATAGCAACAGAACAAACTTGATAATCTTGGAAGTTCTTTAAAGCCATGTACAAGAATGGCTTAAACGCTTCCATATATTTAATGAAGTTCTCATTCATCAGATCACACAAGTTGGAGACAGCCATTAATGCGTCTTCCTGTACGCCACCAGCTTTACCAGAATTAGAATTGAACATCATTAAGAGTGCACTCATAATAGCATCCGATACAGCTGGTGCATCTTCAGGCTTAACTTTACGAAGTACAGATTGTAATGTTGCACACAATGATGACTGTATATCCTGGATTCTTTGACGATCATTTGGTGCAATCATATTGTCCATATTCAAAATTTGATTTAATCTCTCTAGGATAACCATTGTTGTAGATTGTACGGTCTTGTAGCAATCACTTGGTGAGTTTTTAATCATTTCCATTAATGCTTCGTAAGCAGCAGCACGTAAATTTGATTGACCACCATCTGGTCTGTCTGTTGTTTCAAGTAAACGCTGGACAATATATTCAAAATATTTTGATAAACAATAAGTTTCTGGATCGTCTTCGTCCATAAGTGCAGCGTCATAAGCAGCTTGTGATAATCCAGTAAATGCCCAACAGACATTAGACGCGACACGTGCTTCAGCTTTCAATTGCTGTAATAAAGCTTGAAGTAGTGGCTCAAGGAATTGTGGATCAATAACAGCTTGTGGAATCACTTCACATATTCTACCAATTGTCCAAGCTGTTGTATCACGAACAATTACATTAGTATCGTACATCAATTGAATTAATGTTGGCATAGCTTGTTCAACAAGTGGTTTTAATGTCTGTGCCTCAAGTCCACCCAAAATGGAACTGAAAACCATCAATGCAGCATCTCGATATCTCCAATTTTGACTCTTAATATTCTCAGTGATGAATGGAAGGACATGTGGAACAATATCATCTTCACAGCATGTTGCGAGCAACATAAGACAGACACTGGCTGATTTAGATGGATTCCAATCGTCATCGTCATCATGTTCTTCCTGCTTAGTTAATTTCTCCATTAAAACTGGTGCTAAATATTGAAGTGCACCTCTGGCGTAGTGCCTTGAAACATGCTCAGGCGTTTGACCTGCATTCTTTGCTTCCTGTGACTCAATCGACAAGTCAATTTCCTCATCGCATACATTCGACCAGAACTCAATACCTTGAAGTGCAACTTGATCATTTTCGGACTTCATGGCCTCTAATGTTATTGGAAATAGTGCCTGTCCCATATATGCTTCCATAAATTGATAATATAATGTCATTATTTTAACTAAACACTGTAATGCTGCGACACTAATTTGAATGTCAGTACTTTGTGTTGCCTCACAAACTACTTCCATAATGAAATTTCTCTCGGAATCCTTTTCGAAATTGGCTTTGGTGAATTCTAATGAGTTAAGCAGTGCATTTGTCGCTGCTAGTCTTACATGATTACTTGGTTCCGTCTTACGCATTCCGTGAATGATTGCTGTGAGAATGGCATTTGATTGTGGCTCCAAAACCTCAGAGTTAATGTCTTGACAAATGTATCCAATTGTTTCCAATGTTGCTTCCCGTTCCATCTCTGTTGATCGCTCATTAATGACATTATTAACGAGTGTTTGTACGAGATTTGGCCATTGACCTTGAGGAAGTTCTGTAACCGCGACATATGCAACACATTGGGCAGCAGATGATGGTCTTATACTCTCAGTTCCCAATGCAGCTAATATCTATGTACATAAAGGACAATTTAATAGTCAAATAAAGACAAAAAAAAACAATAAACTTACATTTTTCTTAACATAATTCCTAATGTCTTCCGGTAGTTGAAGCCATTGTGCCTGAAATTTGAGTTTAACATTTTCGTCTTTGCTTGTCAATTGATTTTTTAGTTGTAATCCAGCAGCCATACGCGAGACCGGAGAATTTCCAGGATGTGCAAGCACATCTGAGAGTGCCTTAAGGAAATCCGGATGATTGTTTGATGCTGCTTGTTCCAGAAAATGCTGTGCTCCTTCAAGCTCATTTTTATCTACGTAAATTAACAGGAAAAATTGTAATAAATAAAGTTTTGTGAATCATAGGAGAAAATATTCGAATGTTCTCATGGTCATCATTTACTGACTGCTGTCTATGTCTGAACATTTTTCTCAGTCGACATGTTGTGTGTGTGTTTGTGCATGTATATACACAAGAAAAACAAGAAGAAAATTGATTGTTGCTAAGGAACAATAAACGACTAAATATGTTAAGGAAGGCTATTTTAAATCATAATTGAAGTCTACTGAATAAGCTAGTGCCATATAATGAGCAGAAAGGACGAAATTTATTCATGAAAATTTGACTGTAAAGCGCGCAAAACTAATACAACCAAAGAAATAAATTTTTAACCAACTTTCTCAGTTATTTAACTACATCCCAACTATTTCAATCATCAACTATAATAATGAGACTTGCATTAATGCATTGCATAGTCCAAAAGCTCATTATATTTAAAAATTGTGGCTTTTCACACAATTTTTACAGGTCGGCCATAAACGAGAATTTTTTTGCGAAATTGTCTTTCTGAAGATTTTTCTTTTGCAATTTTCACCGACTTACCTGATGAAACAGTTTTCTCCAATATGTTTATAAGTTCCATCGTCATGTTGAGTAAGATTTTATGTATTTTTTGGAACTAATTATGCACAATATCGCACTTTTTAAAAGATTCTTCTGATTTTCAAATGCCTTTAAATTTTTTTGAGTGCGTTTTTGATGCGGAGGCTTATTTTGAATTTGAAAAAACCGTTGTGTTAAAGCGCATTTTTGGGATGTTATGGATGTTTTGATGACGGTTTGTCTTATTATAGAAACTCATATTCATTTGATTGATTTTCAAGCAGATTGATGACTCTGGGCACGAAAATGAGCTTAAAAGTGACAATGATTGTAAAAATTTTTCTCTTGTGAAGTATAGTAAATAAGCAGTTAAGTGCCTTGCTGGTCGAATAGGTAAGGCGCTTGGCTCAAATTTGGTATGGTAACTCGAAGGTCAAAAACTTGAAGTGTAGCGGGAGAAATAGGAACGAGAGCTACAAGATTACCTTATAATGGAATATTGTCAGAACGGATCTGAATTGTATCACGTCACGCCCACAGAAGATTGAAACGAGAGCCTGAATTTAATCGAAACCTGGATTTGAAGATTAGAAGCTTGATTCTACGTCACCCATAGTGATATGAAATGTATCACTAATCAATGTTAAAAGTAAAACATGTATATACTAATTCTTTCAAACGGTAACGTCGACAAATAAATAATAATAATAATAAGTTTAAAAATCTTAAGTATCATTTAAAAAATGATGTTTGTAGCCTTGAGGTTCTTAGAATCTTAATTGTAGAATAACATTGAGCTTTAAAAATGCGCTTATGACAGTCACAAGTAGGAAAAACTCACCTTTTCACCAAAATAACGTATTTAATGTGAAATTACGAATTATTACCAAATTTTTAACGACATTTCAGCAAGATTATGAAATAAGTGAACTATGATTGGTTGAATATTTTCACTTTTTGTGCTGATCCCACCAATCATGATCTTTCTACCATAAAGACTAAATCATGCTTGATGATAGCTCTTCAGTTATATCTAAATTCACAACAGTCTAGATCTGAGATAAGCACAGATCCAGTTCTTTGTACATAAGTCATAGCTGCTTCTTTCTGCAATTATAAGTGCTAAACTCAATTTCATTACATTTTATTTAATACAATAACTCAACCTGAATCCAGACAAAACACTACAAGCTTACAAAAAATAATTTAATACTCTATGACAACTTTTCCTCTCAAATGACCATTATATACTTTCTCGTAAGCCTTAGGAAGCTCACTATATGAGAATTTCGAGTCTATTATCGGCACAAGCTGTTCCATTTCAACAAGTTTAGTCAAATATGAAATTCCGTTCTTTAATGGAACAAAGTATCCCCATTTAACAACTCCATTACTATATAGAGCACTGATGTTCTGTGACAGCAAGTCTTTCAAGTTATTTAATCCACCAAAAAGCATTCCTTTCTCATCAAAGTTCTTCAATAGTGGTGACTTGAATGTGACATAATTTTTAAACTTCCATGGATGTACATTAGCATATTCAGCACCTTTGGATGCACAATCGAGGATTAAGTCATAAGGAGATTCATCGATTAGAATTCTATCACTTTCAACTGTTGTATAGTCGATGACTTTGGACACTCCAAGATTTTCAACTAATGGAACTGCATTTTGTGAGCATGTTGTAAGCACTTCAGCACCTTCTGCTTGTAAAATTTGAATAGCTATATGTCCAACACCGCCTGCACCGCCGAGCACTAGTACTTTCTTGCCAGCTCCATTGCCTTGAACTGAACTGCACAGCAAACCAGAAAGTCCATTAAGTTGTGCTGATAAAAATATTCCAGAATAAGCTGTTAAACCAGCATAAAGTATTGCAGCCGCTTCTACGTCACTAATGTTTTTAGGCTTTTTCGATACATAACAGCTATCAACAGCCACAAACTCAGAATGACATCCCTGCTTTTGAACTGGAACTACTCCCCAAATTTTATCACCTATTTTATAATCTTTATTATCTAATCCTTTATGTACGACAGTTCCTACAAAGTCTCTTCCGAGTATTAATGGAAATTCTATGTTATCTGTATTGCATCTAATGGAATTAAGAAAAGCCGATCCATATCCATTTATCATTGCAACATCCAGCGGATTTACACTGCTTGCATCTACTTTGACTAATAGCTCTTTTGGTGACCTAATGTAAGGCTTTTTAACATTTTTCGAGAATTGCACTTCGTCTAATTCACCATATGAATGAATTTGCCATCCTTTAATAGTCAGAATAGATTAATTAACATAGAATTGGCAAAATTTATCGTTTTCTCACCTGACATTCTTGGATATGATTTTTCTGCTGTAGATTCTTTAATTGCCGTCTTGGTTGCATTGCAGAATGTTCGTTTAATTAGCAGAAAACTGCTTAATTTCCTCATTTTTGATAGAAACGTCTCAAATAAAACTGTAAATAAACAAATACAATCAAAGGCTCGTTTTTACATGTTCACTAATACAGTGATAAATAATTCAAAAATCATAAGTTCGTTATTTTAAATATTTATTTTGATGATGCATCTTTCACGTGTTGATCACTCAATATCAGTTGCTGTCTGCTGAATTTTGAGGTCCTGAACCATCTGATTAAATAATAATTCGAGTAAATACACTACATTGTTATGAAATGATTATTTAACAGCCCATACATCAAGCGACAGCTAATAATGAAAAAGTATGAAGGACATGCTTACAACAACAATAAAGAAAATGTTTTGGAAAAGCCTGGTAAAATTCTCATTCGCAATAGAATCTTCAACGCATTCAGTTCATCGCCTGACCTGCTGTAAAAGCTTTGACAAATTAATAAATATTATTTTTTTGTGTGCCACAATCAATACAACTGCTGATTTCCTTAAAGCTTACTTGACAGTATAGTCTGTATTTATTTTTTTGCGCACACATATACTTGGATAGCTAACATACGATTTGCGAAAAAAAAGGGAAAGACGAAAATTATTCAAAACCAAGCAGCTCTTCAACGAAATAATTCATTTTACTTTTGATCGTCAGTGAATTCAGATCTCTTCTCAAAATAGAGAAGCTGATAATAAATTTAAAATAAAATTTAAAATAAAATAAATTAAAAAAGTGAAATAAATTTTTATTGATTAAGTTGGTGGAGAAAAAACACAAAAAGTCAGGTGAGTAAAGACATAAATGTGCCATCGTATGATGTGCTTGTTATGTCTGAAAAAGTGCATTTGTGACATGAATTCGAAGAAAATGTGGAAGATACAGAAAATGAAAAAAAAAACAGTCATACGATAAGCCATGATGATCATACGATATAGTTGGAGGAATAACGACTTAATTTGCCAATTATTAATGATTTTCATTGTTGGATAATTTAAAATAAAAAGTATTGTGAGTGGATATCCATTTTGTGACATGCTGAGTCAGTTGCTATCGTGAAAATTACTGTGAATTTTTAGAAGTGCTTAAGCGTGTTCTGATGCTAATCGACGTGGTCTCAGACAAATTTTATCTGTCGCAGACATAAAAAACAGGCTCTTGATCTGGGGTTGATTTAATAGAGTTTTCATCCCTCCCCCTCTCCCATCCTTCAATTTTACTTTAAAAATCTTCCATTTTCCGTTAAAAACCCTGGCAAATTAAAGATAAACCCAACCCCTAATTCATACCAACTCTGCAATAAAAAGCAACATAATTCGAATTAAATTCACAAGATTATTTCATCATCACGCTTCCTACAGATGCCAAATTATAAAGAGGTTTATACACTCTTTCGATTAACGAGTCATAGTCGTACGTCTGATGACAACAACCAATGATAACAAAGGAGATTCCCAATTGAATCTAATCTCGCTCATTTTTGTGTGTTTTTATTCCGCACGCGATAAGGTTCCAATTTAACGGCAATCTCCGAGGCTTTATAAAAATAATAATCAATAGCTGAGGAATATTGTCAACAAAAAACAAGAAATTGTAGCATCAAGATTATCAGTTGTGGAAAAGTTTGTAGCTAGGTGGAATTGATTGGGTTTTATTTTTGGAGTAGCAATGTGTTATAATTTATTTAGAAGTTGCTTGGAGTCTTGATTTCCATTAATATGTAACTAGACACTTGCACATGTACTAAGTTGGACATACTAAAGAGTTTTAATGCGGTAAAATTGTGAAATTTTAGGATTGATATTTTTCAGATTAGTAATGTTGATTTGAAAATAGCTTTTGAAGAAAAAGATGCAAAAAATTTTGCATCAAAAGTATGTTCAGTAAAAAAAGATGCAAACTTTTTGCTTCAAAAGTGTGTTTAGCAAAAAAGATGCGAAATGTTCTAAATGAATAAATGAAAGTAGTTTTCATTAAAATCACCTTCAATTGAACTCTAAAAATGCATTCGACATGAAAATCGAAATTCTTTGCGTCATTTCACAAAGTTCTAATTGATTTTCAATAGAAATTAACCTTGAAACGAATATAGCGACTAGAAAAAATGAAAAATCTGACAATGCATTGACGCGATGAAATGAAAATCAAGGACAACTTTTATGTAATTTTCAGTGATAAGAATTTTGATTACCTTTGTGTATTGAATGGAAGTTTTTTCGATGAGTTCAGCACATTGAATTTTTTAAACTGACACTTTACATCAGCAAAGATCGTATGACGTGGTTACTATCGTTAGTGTAAAATTTAATGAACTATCTAGTCTACAACTATGAACCGTTAATTATCAATATTCAATTCGTTATCAGTGAATATTTTTGCTTATGCAACAATAATTTTTCCTACATTGCTCTCTCTCACTCTCGCAGTGGCTGTCCTGAAATTTTCAATGTCAATGACAAGATTTTATTTGCATGCACACTTTATTTTGTTATAAATGATTCGCAAACAAGTATTGTCACTAAAGCTTAATAAAATCTAATAAAATTAAATTTGTGTTTGCAGTGCGATTGTGTTACTGCTTTTCGTGGATTTTCCTGTATCGCCTGGATGTCTACAATTGATTTTAATTTCAGTCTAGGTAGCTTAAAACTTGTTTTGAGAACCTCGAGTTTTTTTTGGATAAATTAGTTTTGTTTTGAATCTGTAAGCTTAAAAAATACTGTCAAGTCATAGCTTATATGCATTGACATCA